TTGTTCCGGACTCACAATGAAATGCTCAAATGAAAATCAAATTTCCCGCTTCCTGTCCTGCGTCTGTCACATTAATTAGCCATCCCATTTCGAATGGCATTTCCACCCGAAACTAAAAACTAATTAAAAAGCCGTGTCACTGGAAAGGCCTCCCGACATCGGGCCATCAAGCTTTCCTGAATTTCGGTGCTAATCGAATTGTTGAAACGCAATGAAATGAATGTCATTGGAGACCGAAGAGCGAAGACCACCCAAAAAAGCAGCCATTCCCGCCATCCCGGCCAATTCAATTCATATTCATTCCGGCCATCAAATGACGGCAAATGACAGCGAACAATGAAATCAAATTAAAATACACTTTAACGCCGCGCCGAGTGAATGACAATCAAAGGCTAAACAATGGAATGCCAGCGAATCGATTTGAATATCGAAAAACGGGTGGCCCCCCGAATGACTGAAACGATTTTGAATGCTCGCATTTTTATTGCCGAGTGACAGCCGAAAGGAAAATGCCATCAATTCTGGCCGAAAATCGCAATGAAGGCTTCAAGTGTTGCGTGTCGTTGGAGTAATTAAATCCTGACATCTCAAATGTCCATTAAAGTGAGCTTAATTTGCCCATGTGCCAGCTTTATGACTTCCAGGAAAGTGAAAAATAAAGGGGAATTCTTCTGGGAGGAGTGAAACTTATTAAGCTGAGTGACAAGTAAAACGAAATTAAATGAGAAAGGATAAAACAATATTAATTGGGGATGGTTATGAAAATTAAGAAAATAAGATATAAATATTTCACATATAAATTCTTTCTGCCTGTTAAATCAATCTTCAAGAATACATTATTCAAAATGTTCCCCAGAGATTCGTCTATTTGCTCCATCGAAATCCCACTGTTTGTCCAAATAAGTGCTTCTCCTTCACTCAGGGTATTAAAACAAGCATATCTTAGTACCCTTTTCAATGGGATTTTTTGCACTTAAAACAAACAGCTCTGCCAAAAGAAATGAAGGCTTCCAACTCTCTCTCGAGTTTCATTAGCCATGTTAGGTAAACAAGCACGCCCGCAAACAGAGGCTCCCAGCCAGGATTCAGGATTCGGGATCTGCAGCCTTCGTTCCACTAAGCCGCTTAGTGAAAGTCCTTGGCGAAAAAAGAAGGAAGAAGGGCGGCAAAGGGATATCTACATACATGTGAGAGCCTTTTTTTCCACGGAACTCGAGATGATGAAAGTCGCCTTGGTGTTTAAATAACTTTGACGCGCTTATACACACACATACACGAACTCCTGTGTGGCATTTCCGGTCGTAATGGCGCTCACACATATTGCCAAAAGAAAACTTTGATGACGTGAGCTTGAGTTTGACGTGCCGAAAAGAAATTTGACTTCTGGCAAAGGGGCAACTTGGGAATACTTGGGAATATGTGTGTTAGCTCGTTACAATTTAGCCCCATTGCCAACTTGCAAGCAACCCCAAAACGCGATTCTCCCTTCTCCGCTGGCACCAATTTGCGTCGACTAACTTTTCAAGTTGTGCAATACAATTTGTCTCGCCTTATTTTTCGGGGCCAAATTGCTGCAATTATCATTTGGCATTTTGGCTGCGAATCGCAGCGCTAATGAGGCGTCTGGGGCCGCCATTTCGATGCATTGAACCACAGCGGCCAGAACGCCCTCGCATATGCAACACAAATTTAAAGTCACACGCCCACAAATGCAGGCGGTGTGCATGTGGTGTATGGTGTGCATGTGTCCGTTTCTGTCTTTGTATCTGTGCCTGCACTTCCCTTTCCGCTGCGCCATTGCAATCCCATTGCGAGAAACTTTGGGAAGGGGCAAATCTGAAGGAGCGGAGCGAAAAGGAAAATGAATGACATGCACAGAGAAAATATTATTAAACATTTCCTAATATTTAAATATTATAATATGCCAAATACTAGAAAAAAACTAATTTCTACCTTTGCATTTTTGTTGTTTCGATGCTGGCATTAAAATATATTTTTTAAAGGTAAACACATTTTTTTGGATAAAAATCAGTAAAACCTTTATATCATCATCAAATATCATCATCTTTCATCATATCTTTTTTATATTAGTAGAAAAATATATTTTACAGTAAACGTTTAATAACTTCCCAAATTTAATGGCAAACTTTATTATTAAATATTCCTTAAATGGTTGAGCCTACATTTTCTTCACGTGTACCGTAAGTTAAATTCCATTCCGGCTTGCCACAGAAAGTTACTGCGGATGAGCAGGAGCCAGTGTTCAGGCAATGATGATAAAGACGATGATGACTACCGACAATCCCAACACAGCAGCAACAGTAGCACAGTAACGACAACTGACACCAGCCGTTGGCTGCAAGAATTCTCAAGTCCTTCAGCACTTTTTATGTGCAACTATTTTGCATATGTGGAGGGGCTGGTAATATATGTAGGATGTGAGGTTACGAAAGTCAACGCGGGGTGCCAAGGGGGAGGCACATTCGCACATCCTAGTGCTTGACGAAACTTGATATCGACGCCATCCCTTTGAGATCCATTAAAGCGGCAGCAGCTCCATATCCATCTTCTGGCTCGTAAACAGATATGGGGATAGCTATATCTGGTCGGGTGTGCGGCTCCTGCCTGATAAGCCACTGCAGTGATGAGATGAAAAAACACACAGAAAAGAAGAAAAATAACACAGCTTCTGTTTACGCTCTTCTGTTCGTGGAGAATCGCAGCAAATAGCTTTGACATTGAGTTAAGGGGAAGCCATTTGAATGAAAATGTTTTGCTTTAAGACAGCGCATTTGGCTGAGACAAAGTTGGCCACATTAAAACTTATTAGCAATTTAATGCACGACTAGACAACGTCCAGTTTTCGTCTCCTCTCCCCGGGGGGATTATTTTAGCACTGCACGGTTTTGTGGCGATTTTCACTGACGCCAGACATTGTAATGGCCAACTGCAGGGCGGAATTGGGAGGAGTGGCCCAGTGCTTCTCGGCCATAAAAATGTTAAAAACAACATGCTGGCTTCGCTACAATCGCCACAGGCATATTGGTTACAGCGAAGAGTCCTTAAAAAGAGCATAAAGGCTTTAAACTGGTTTTAATATGAGATATTTAAAAAATTAACATACGAAATTTAAATATGAAAGTAAATAAAGTTTATAAAGTAAAAGGATAATAAAAAACTTTAAAGAAACTAAGCAACTGGGAAAAATAAATTAAATAAATAAATAAATTCTGACATAGAATAAAAATATTTACACATGATTGAAATAGTAAGAAATCAGTTATCCGTTTATAACCACATAAACTAGCTCATTTATCTTGATGCCGAACCGCATCCAAAGCCAATTTGTAACAAAAAGTTTATTGAAAGTGACTTAACTGCACTTGTCGGGGAGTTTACCAAAAAATGTCCTCAACTGCCAGGGAGTTTCCATCTCCATCTGCAGTTCCACTTGCCTCGAATCCAAATGAACCTCTGGTATTTTCGTGTTCCCTTGTGCAACAAGCTCGCTGGAAAAAACATGGGCATCAGTTTCCGTCTGGCTCCCGGCGTCATCTGCTGTCTGCTGACGCCGCTGAATTTCAGAATCTGTCCCCGAGAATCCAATGCCGTTTCCCCGAGAGTCCCGCCATAAACCACCATTTACCCCATGTCTGCTCCATGTCTGAGCGTCTAATTTAAAATTATGCAACTAGGTACTATTTTTTTGTAGTCGCCTGCTTTTCCGCGATTTTCGCTCTCGCTGGCCGAATGCTGTAATTTCCACGCTCCGGCACTCATTGACTTGCCGACTCTGCGGCATTGCTGTTGGACAGTGTTTTGGGGTCAGGCGTTGTAAGGGCCCCCCGAACACCCGAACAACATTCATAAATCATTCGCAGAGGTGGAGGGGCGCTGTTGTTTTTCTACTCATCGTTATCACTGGCAAGCTGCAATCGACAGCCCCAGAAAAACCCCTTTTTCGTTGCACTGAAAACTGAACACTGAACACTGAAAACACATTAATCAATTCCGACCGACTGGCGGAGGCCAGACCTCTATGCATATACATGTACATCCATTGTGTAGAGTGGATCGTGGAAAAGTCGGAAAACAAGGACAAAATGAAACCGTTACACGCTCAGCGAGCGCAACAACAAGAACTGGGGGAAAAAAAGAAAAACCCTACAAAAAAATACTCGTAACTTTCCATAATGTGCAACGCGCGTGAAAATTCGTCCTTAGCTCGGCGTGAAAAATATGCGAGAAAGTCGCAGTGAAACCGAAAAATAAAACGGAAAATCACAAATACAAAAAGAAAACCGGGGGGTAAAAAAAAAAAACATGCGGAGAAATTGTTTACGCTGCAAATATTTATGATTTTCATTGGTCGAAGGTTTCCGCATCGCGAGAATTTATTTCGATGTTCGAATACAACCGATGTACTGTACTATATATGCGCAACGATAAATATTTGGCCATAAATTTGGCGTGTAATCGGTCAGCGAGGCATGTGGAAATTTGTTGCCCCAGACATTTGAATATTTTAAATTATTTTCAAGCAACAACGAAAAACATTTTCTGTGTAAACCCATGATTGTTAATCACTATGTACCGAATTCAATTATATTTTTAATGATTCTAATACAATTAGAGCGCGGCGTATATTTTTCAATTTGTGTGCAAATAAGGTGTGAAATTAAAAATAGCAACACTGGTGAACTGCTCATGTTTGAAACTAGAGATAATTGAAAAACGATAAAACTATGTCGCCAAAATAAGTTAAACATATTACCATTTACATGTGGTAATTGTGGTAATTTATTGTTTTTATCCCTTTAACTAAGTGAACCTTATTGAAAATTAATAAATTTATGTAATTTATGTAAAAATAGTTAAATAAAATAAAATAAATATATTTTTAATAGATAAATTTATAAATACTTACTAAAAAAAACTTAAATAAATGAAATAAAATGAAATCTAAGCCATTTTCTATAATACTTCTTCAATATTTTCAGACACAACAGTAATGACATTGAAATGGCGTCAGAAATACAAAAGCAGAAAAAGGCCAAAGAAACTGAAACAACGAATAATTGCAACAAACACTGCCCCAGCAAAAGCAAGAACAACAAAAACACCAACACATAAAACAACAAAAGCAACCAGCAGACTGAGAGAAACGAGGTGCAAACTGAGGCGGCCTAGAAAATGGCTGCCAAATGAACGACACAGAAATGTGGCTAAAATGCAGCAAGTGACGACAAATCCAACACAATGTCGTGCAATTAAAGCAACAGGAACAGCAGCAACATCCACAATGACTTCCAGCTGCAGCGGCCATTGTCAGTCCCAACAGCAGCAGCAGCAGCAGCAACAGCAGTTGCAGCAACCGAAACAGCAGCAACATCAACAGCGGCGACATCCACTTCCGGCGACGCTGACGTTGCTCCTCTGCCTGGGAATCAGTTTGGGCATGGCTGCCACAGCAGCTGCAGCCGGAGGAGGCGGAGGCGGAGGAGGAGGTGCACCCGGTTCCGGATCCGGAGCAGCTGGCTCCCCATCCAGTTACGGCTCCAGCTCCTCGAGCTCCTTGGGTCCCGGCAAACCGGCCAATTTACAACTGGCACCCGGATCTGGATCCTCCTCCTCGACGGGCTGCTCCCTGGCCGAGTTCAGCTGCTCCAACGGAAGATGCGTGCCGCTGAGCAAGTACTGCAACAATCTGAACGACTGCGGCGACGGCAGCGATGAGCCGCGATTTTGTACACGTGAGTAGAGCTTACTATTAACACTGATACACTGATCTTTAAACAAGTTACGCTAGCAATTTAAGAGATTTAAGAAAAATAACTTAATGGTTTCTGATCCTATAAACCACTTTTAAAGTCATTTACAAGCTATGTTGCAGTGGAAATAATAATATTTACCGTTGAAAACACAATCAATAAAAATAATACAATTAAAAAACTTTCAGTTCCTCCTTTAATAAGGTAGGGGCTTCTCAAAAAATAGAATAACTAAGCAAGTTTATTATTTGTTTTTAGTTTATGAAGCACATACACAACATTTAAAGTCAAGCAAGCTATGTTGCTGTCAAAAAAATTTTGTTTATATTTGGAAACCAAAAAAAGAAACTGCTTTAAAATTAAAAATAAATAAACCAACTTTTTATTATTTGTTAAATACAAAAGAAAACAAATTAAATATTGTTTTAAGTGTTGAAAGGCGAAAAGTCCACTAATGGAGCAAAGGCAACATAACAATGTGTCGAAGGCCATTGGGTAAAGCGAAGCATAATGAGAAACAGGCTGAAATGGCCCGCGAAAGTACTGTTTGTTCAATTTACCAGGCGATTGATGGGTGAAAAAGTAGTAATTAAAATGGGCGGGTACATCGACTATAGAAGGCGGTAAAGAGATGGCTTTTCATCATGAGAAAAATATAATATTTGTTCAAAAATTTAAATATTTCATTAAGGTATCTTCTTCCAACAGTGCTTTATTGCGTATACGCAATGTTGTCTGTTATTTTATATGGTTCAATAAATACCTTTATAATTAATTTATTATTTGCTTTAAAAAATATTAACAAATTTATAATTAAAAATTACTACTGGATTTTAATTTAGGTTTTTTTTCTGAAAGTTATCTTAATCTTAAACTATTTATTTAATCAATATGCCCCTCGAACTGTGAGTTTAAATCGAAACAAGGCCAAAGATCCCCCGCCAAATCGATTTGTAAGGTCCTCGATGGCCTGCAGCCTGAATCCTCGTGGAAAGCAGGCAGGTACGAACCTGGAAGCAATCAAGCTTGTCAAACCCCATAACCGTCCGGCAATCATCTCCCTCCGCTGCATCCATTCACTGGCCGCTCTTGTAAACACGGCCTTCATGTGTAAATGTAATTAAGCACTCCCCACTCTCACATTCACAGGGCATCACACAGATTGGAACACCCAGTGAGCCACCCACTTTACAGCCCCCTTTGGCCCTCCAATGGCCCTCATAATGGCGGCAAAGTGAACTTCTCACTTTTGCCAATTGGCTGCCAGTAAGCCCTCCACTTCCTCCCCCTCCAGGATGTCCTGCTCCTGCTGCTCCTGTTTCTGCTGCTGCTGCTGCCGGGCGCGTCATGTCAAGCGTTGATGAATTTAATTAAGTATTTTTCAATGACATTCAATGAGACGGTCTCCCAAATGGGGGAGGCAATCGCCGTGATGAATAAGGACAGCGACAACTCGTGGGGTTTTTAATTGAACAACGAGCTTATCGTGGGGGCAAATATGTTTGCGCTTGTTTGGGGGGCAACGCAGTTTCGAAATAAAGATAGTCCCACCTTGCTGTATATATTTTTTAAATCATCCATTGTTGAAACACTCAAAGATAAAGAGTCCTTGTAGACTCTGCAATTAATAGTCAATATATAAAATAAATATGAATTCCAATTGTACACGAACATGAAAAGATATTAAACCATGTTGAGATATGAAAAAATTATGTATAAATGTTACACTAAAAAAACTTAACGTTTGTGAAAAATTAAATAATAATAATGTACTTTATTTTATTTATCAGAGTATTAAGCGTTATGATTTGTATTTAAAAAGTTTCCCTTTAATTAAACAAAAATATTTATGCAAAAGTAATGCCTTCGACCAACAAAATTGATGTTTTTGTTCCCCATAAAAACTGTAATTAAATGGTCAATGCCTATGATTAGTAACCATTGCAGTGGCAATTATATTTACGCCCCCGCAAAATCGAAAATTGCTTTCGGGCATGATAGACAAACTGATGGACTGACAGACTGACTGACTGACAGACAAACCCACTGACAATCGGGCAGGCAATCAAATTGGAAATACGCCTACAGCGGGCGCAATTGATTTCGCCTGCAATCCCATAATTATCTAATTGACTATTGATGGCTGAGCGCATAATAAATTTGATTGAATGCACAGAAAGCAATTAGAGCAGCACAACTACCAACACTTGAGCCATTTATTTCGAATTGAGTTATTTTATCCAGGGGTTGTCTCTTTCCGAATCGTATGCATTTTTAATAAAACTAATTGAAATGCCAGGGGCGAAAAGATTGTGGATCCTGAAGGGGCACGACGAAATTGGCTATTTCCATGCAAACTACTTTTATTTTCGGGGACAACTACAAAGGGCAGAACTTAATTCCATAAATGCAAATCGCACAAGCATAAATCATTCCAGTTTGTGGTCATTCAATTATGAAAAGGAATTCCGAATTCGAATACGTAATCGAGTGAAAGCTGGCTAAAGGGTTAGTCCTGTTTTTTTATTCAGTGTAAACAATTCAATTGGAATATTCTCAGAATATCCATTTCAAGCAAAAACAAAACAACAATCAAGAATGGCTTGTTATTGAAATACTCTGAAGCAAACAAAAATAAAGAAAAGAAAAGGGAAACTAATAAATAAAGTTGCGATGAAGCTTGAATTTAATAATAAAATGAAATAAAACCATGGTATATAAACGCATCATCTCAATTTTAAATCATATTAAAACTAAAAAGGAGCACAAATTAAATGTATTAAAAAATAGTTAGTACATTTTATTCATAAACTCAATCTTAAACCAAATCAACGCAGTACCAAACATTTATCTTTAAGATAAAGTTGAATAAATTTACCACAAATTGCCTGGCACACATTTTCCACTCTCCTCCGAAATGTGAATACATTAAAAGTTAAGTACCTTAAATTATTCAAGTAAATGGATTAGTTTACTTTGCGTTCCAATCAGTTTGCATATGAAGTTAATGTTATGTTAATTTGATACTTTGTGTTAGCATCTGCCTTGGTCTCTGGCGATGATTTATGGCGTGACAATTGCCTTAGCCCCCTTCCCCTCGGGAAACTCAAGGGGTTTACTTGGGGTATTCCCATCCCCCTGAGTTTCCCCTGTTCGGGGTTTTTGGAAAGGAATATCACTGGCGGTTGCCTGGCTGCGCGTGAGGCAAACAAACTAATTGCCAAACTAACGCTAATTGCGTTTAATATATATTTGCAGGCTGTAATCGCACCTACTACGGGGACATTGGACAGACCTACGCCCTGGAGTTGCACCGCCCCAAACAGGATCGCGTGCCCTTTGTGTGTGTGCTCACCTTCACGGCGGCAGGTGGCCAGCATGGCGATGTGGTGCAGGTGAGTCGGGTCAGGGGTCGGGGTTCATATCGGGTTACACAAAAAAATATTTATACAAATTGGGTGTCATTAAACAACTTAATAATATACGGTTATATTTCGATGGTTATTATTTTTTAAGTTATTTTTTATGTATCTTATTAGATTGCAGAAGTATTGTATTGAATTCCATTAAATATTATGATAATTATTTATGTACATTTATAGAGAACATGAATAAATATTTCATCAATTTTTGTACTTAAATAATATTAAAGCGATATTATTTTTAAAGTAAGAAACAGAGTTAAAGCACATTCTCGAAGGCGATGGAATATTTTTTTTAGAAAAAAAGGATTTTTCAATAGAACACTTTTTATAGAACTAGATTTTCCCCTCAGTGCATCTTCCACTGCAGAGGTTCTCCTCCTTCTGCTGCTGCCATTGCCTTTCACATTTCATTTTGTAACGGGATAAACTACGCCATTAAAAGATAAGCAACAACAATGGCGCTGGCAGATGTGGGAGGGAATGTAATGGGGTGGTGGTGGGTTGTTGGGGGTGGCAGAAGCAATATTGATTTCAAAGCCACTCGCTGGAGCGTAGCAAATCCTGCACCACCACCACCACCCCTTTTTTGGGGGTGGCAGGAAGCAAGTGCCGGCGCCTGTTAGTTATTACGCCACTTCACACCTCCAATTGGAATGAAGGATGCAGCAGGAGCAAAAGGAGGAGCAAACGGAGGAGCTAAAGGAGGAGTACCAGGCAGCCAGCCAAAGCCTTTGGCATGCTCGAGTGCGTCCCAAGAGCATTCGGCACTGATATCCACTGAGCTACGAGCACTGACCGAAACTTTATTACCGACACCCTCCTCTCGGCACTTCCTGCAAATATTTTATGCCCAGCCGAGAGACTATACTAGATTCGAGCAGATTTATGCAATTGGGAGTCGTGGGAACGATTCCCTTCCCCCGACGGCAGAGCCAACAATAAATGGTTATGTAATTGAAAAGCGAAGAAGGCATTTCTCCTACATTCTCCTTGATTTTACAGAAAGAAATGCAGAAAATGTTCAATAATAAAGTAAATCGGAGTTTGATTAGGGTCAGACATTTAAAAGAAAAATAAAATTAAATGTAATTACAGGAAAATATTTACGAACTTACAAACTCCTGAAAATTTAAAGTGATTTATTGAGTATTTATTTTTACCAAAACTGGACTATTAAAGACAAAGTATATCCATTATATCCATTATCATGTATGGTATATTTTTTTTACCACAGAAAAGGGTTTTCTGTAATAAAATATCAAGTATCTTATTTATCATTTATTAAATTTCTAAAGTTACTTGAACACAAAAGATTTTCAGGTTTAATTTACTAATTTCTAGTATTATATATTTCACACGATTATAATAACAAAAGAAATCAGGTGGCTCTATTAACTTTATGGGCACTTGGGGCACCCAAAAGCAAGGGCTCTATAACATATCTCACATGTTCATTGTCCGAATCGCCCTAGGTCACCCTGGACAGCTTCACGATTGGCAGGTTCACCTCGTACGTGCATGAGGGCTGTCCGGATGGATATGTGCAGATAGCGGAGTCCGCGCGAACGCCCATCGGTGGCATGTGGTGCGGCAGCTCCTGGGGACCGGTGCTCTTCTACAGCGAAACGCGCTCCCTGATATTCACCATCCGGCTGAACAGGTGCGATTTCCTATCCCCGATACAATTAACCGACCACGAATCTAACGAATATATAACCCACAGACTGGCGAGGGATCAGAGTGGCTACAACTTCGACTTTCGCATCAGATACAAGGTTTTGTCCAGGGACAGTTCGGTGACCCGCTACGGGGGCATTAAGCTGGCAGGTGCGTGCGACCGCAGGGTTTGAGTTGGAGTCCCTAATCCGCTCAACCGAGTCCTTTGCCTCCTTCTTTTTAGAGCTAGCCCAGTGGCACAACCGCAGCAGCTTCCTCAATCAGCAGCAGCAGCAACAGCAACAGCAGCAACAACAAGGCGGCGGTGTCCTGGAGGACTTCACAAACTCCAGCGGAGCCCGTTCGGACCGTTATGGCCAGGACTTTAGCCTGTTCAGCGCTTATGCCAACAACAAGACCTTTATGGCCTCGCTGGAAAAGTCACTGGCCAAGGACGAGCAAAACTACACGGAGCCCAAGTATTATCTGGGTGAGTTGCTGGAATAAATAATTGAGTTTTTTAATTATAATGGTTGGGAATTCTTAGATTGATTCGTTATTATTTAAAGCTATATTTCTGTGGGAATCACTTTAAAAGTAACACAAGTTCAAACTAACTTTGAATATTTTATAATCCTATTTGGTTTAAATTTTTAATAAAGTTTTTATATTAAAATGCATATTCTTAGGTTTCAACTAACATAACTACTTCAAATAATTAAATATTTCTGTATAGATTTAAAAAAAAAATAAGTTAATAAAATAAATCTACTGGAAAAAATTTTGAAAATAGTGATGAGAGAATTATTAATGAGAATTAATTATAATAATAATATTATTATTATTACAAAATATTTATAAAATATTACATAATTGTATTTTGTAATACAATAATATATTTAAAAATAAAAAATACATACAAAATTTATATTAGAAACAGACATTCCAACAGAAATAAAGTATTTTACAAACACATCCTGATTTAATTTTTGAATTTCCCAAACTAAGATTGTTCTTTATGACCCATTAAATATAATTTCTGGCTGTGACACCTGCTTCTCGCATTCGCAGGTGACCTTATACCCGGAACGTATTGCTCCAGGATCTTCAGCGACTGCGACAAGAAGCCCTGTCGCCTGCAGTCGCCCAACTTCCCCGGGATCTATCCGCGCAACCTCACCTGCTACTACGCAGTGCGACAGGTGAGCAAAGAGCAATTAAAACGAAATTAAACTCCAGCCAGCTAGTCGAAGGCTCTGGTTTACAAGGCGTGCCAGGCCAGAAAGGTTAGACACCTCCTGCCAACGCAGGATTTTGCGGGCATCCTTGCTGCTGTCGGGTCATAAAAATACGCTCTCTGCCTTATTTTTATTCATGCCACAACAAAGTTCAAAAATCAAGAGAGGCAAGAAAAGAAAAAAATTAAATGGCAATTTACATTCCAAAATAGAATGGGCTTTTATTATAATTAACTGGAGGAGCAGAGAAGCGTTCTTTGGCATTTTTAATATGTCTACTGCCGCCCGACGGGGATTCTCCTGGTGGTCCTGGCTGCCAGGACTCGTTGCCATTGGCAATCAACTGTTAAAGGCCTCACATGCTGTGGACGTCCTTTTAAAATTACAAATTGTTTACTGGCTCCCCAGTCCTCGAGCCATAGCACTTAATGTGCCTATATTTGGCAGTCACGTAGTTCAAAGTCATGGGCAACGCTGGCTTAGGCGGGGATAACTGAGCTCCGAGGTGCCATTGTAGAAACCGGAAATTAGAATCTCTTTCAACATAACTGCGGTCTCTTAAATAGAGTCTTTGATAAACTTGTATTTGTCAGTAGGTCCGTGGAATAATTCAACATTCCTAACATACACTAGTTTGAATATCTTTATATATTTAAAAGAAAAATAAAAATTAAGGTTTAACACGAAAAAATTCGTTAAATAATAAATAAATGAAAAAAAATTGTATTTAAAATATGTAACATTTTTACATATGCAATAGAATTTTTAAAAGTTAAAATAAAAATGAAAATAAAGGTCTTCCAAAAAGAAAACAAGTACAAAATATTTTTAGTTAAAATAAGTGAAACCCAATTTGTCCTCCTTTCTGTTGTTAAACAAATTTGTATAAGATTAAAGAAATCGTTTTCTCAACAGGACATAATTTAAATTAGAATCTAAATAAATGTTTGCCTTCTCTAAACGTCGAATAAATTACTTTCCCCATTTGAGTACGAACAAATACAATGTAAAGCACAAAGATCAATCACCATTTACTGAATCGGGCCAGAGAATTGCGCAGAACGAAGTTTACGTAATTTAAATGCCCCAATTAATCCTCCCATTCCTATTGCTATTCCTATTTTCTGTTTGCAATCCCACAAAAGGAATGGCGCTGTCAAACAAAACATTCTGTGCGCTGCGGCTCATTAATTTGCATTTAATTCTCCTGTCCACACAGCACGACGTGCCCCATGGCAAGCACGCCCTGATTCTAGTCAAGCAGCCCAAGGGCAATCTGGTCTGGATTTCCACCCAGGAAACGGCAGCGGCGAACAAAATGGCACCGCCGCCCAGTGCCAGCGACAAGGACAAGAAGTTCGAGCCGAGGCTGAAAACATGGAATGACTGCGATTACATTCAGGTAATTAAATCTGCCTTTAAATGCACTTCGCTCCGATCTTTCTCTTCTCTGTCTATCTGTATCTGTATCTCTATCTGTATCTGTATCTGCATCTGAGTATCTCTCGGGTTTATCTGTATGAAGTCCACGGTGTTTGCATTTGCCAACTTTAACGAGAGATCCAGCATAAAAATTACTTCCTCTGTTGGCCAGTGGCCGGCAAAAAGGGGCTGGAAAATTCGGAGGGTGTAGAAGGAGGGGAGTGCTGCGAAAAACTGGTGGAAAAACTGCGCAAAAAACGACAAATTGAAAAAGAAATGAGCAAAAATCTGAAATCAGTTGTTTGCACTCCCTTTCCTACCGCCCACTGCTCCGCCAGGAATTTCCCACTGTCATTGCCCCGGCATTGTGTGCTCGCCTCCACATCCGATGTCCGAGTCCGAGTCCTCATCCGCATCCCCATCCTTGTCCGAGCGCCAGGACGAAGTCCTCCGTCCGACATTGCCTTGAGCACTCGATAGGCTTCTCTCTCTGGCCAAACGCGGGAAGTGTTAATTTCGTAGCCCTTCTTTTTGTTTGTCATCGGGGAGCGGGACAGCTAGTGGAGTCCCCGTAAAGCCCCCAACTTAAAGGGGCAACTTTTGGATGAGCCCTTAATGAGCATTGTGTATGCAGAATGGAGCATAAATGGGGGATAAGCTGGATTAATGGGAAATATGAGGGATACGAAGTGTGGAAATAAGCTGGCGAAAGGGATATGCTGGAAAGGAAGTGCTCCAAGAAGTAGGTTTTAATGATGGTGCCTTAATTATATTAAAAATAAGAAAGAAACTAAAGGGGGATTAAAGAAGGACGGATTTTTATCTGTGCCAGAAAAATAAGAGAATTAATTGCTTTTCCCTGGATTAGTTATATTCATTAAAATGCAATTCCGCGGGTTAGGATTTTAAAGAGAAATAAGATTTAAAATATTTCTTGCATTTTCAAAATGTCAAGCATTCTTCACCCAAACAACCTTTAGAAACTTTCTCTTTTGAAAACCACCTAATTTCACAAACTGCACCAAACTAGAATTTGCTATAAAATTAGTGAAAACCAAAGTGTCTATAAATGTATGTATATATTTTCTCCAATAGGAAAATGTAAAGCCCAAATGGAAATCCACGGTAATGCAAAACTAAAGAAAACTCCTCGCTCAGTTCAGTTCAATGCGATTCAATTCAGACTCAATTCAAACTCATGTTGCCACAAATCAATTTTAGTCGTAGAAATAGCTAGTGAGCACTTGACCTCTGACACCCAACACCCACCCAATATATAACTCTAACCCACTATTAGCAACAATTATTCGCCATCTTTCGCTGTTCGAGAACAATTAATCAAGATAAATGTATGCACTGCCCCCTAGAACCCCAAAACCCCAGAGCCCCAGCAAACAAACAACAAATCAAAATGATCTGGGTAAATCGACATCTATGGGATATCTATAGACTGGATAATATATTCATTAGCACACACGCGAGAGGGGAAGAATCTGTCATTGGATTTATATTAATGAACACTTGGCACGCACATCATAAATCGCACACAAAGGAGGTTTGATGTTTGGGGTCTGAGGACCGAGGACGAAGGACTGAGGACCGAGGACATCAAGGACATTAGTGGACGAACGTGCCAGGGTCCCATGTAAATAATTGCCCCGGGCATTCATCATACAAAAGCAGAAGAGCCGAGGATGCCACTCCTGATGGATTTCCCACTTCCGGGCTCCATTCAGAGCGCTTTAAGCTGATCTGCCGCAGCGGTCAAAGACATTCCATCCCCTCTACACCATCCCCAATCCCCCGAAAGAAAGGGGAGGGGGATGAATCTCCACTAAAACGTTTTGACGATTTCCGTGTCGAGGAATTTTGCTTTTAGTTGCCCATTTAGTCATCAGCAACTATTCAATTTCGCTTCGCAACAAAATGCCACTGAAAAAGGAAGGGAGGATGACCCCTGAACCCAGTGCTCCTGCCACCCGGTAATTCCCCCATTAAATGCTCGTTGTGGCAGCAAGGCGTGCAAAGCCCTTCCTCCGTTTTGCACCCTCCTAACCCGGAGATATAGCCCGGCTAACCCCTTTACTTTTTGCTTATTCAGTTGGAAAGCAATCCGCTCGGACGTTAGCGCCATTTGCAAGGATTGCAGGATCCTGGGCCCATTGCACTTTGCCTACAAATTGTCCTGCGCTCGCCATTTCCCACCTCCTTTTTTCAAACTTTTTGTCCTCGCGCTCTTAAGCCAAAATGTCCAAAAGTGCTGGCCATTTCGGTGCGGCATGTGTGAATAATCGCCGGATGGCGAAAGCCCCGCAGCCTGAGATCCACGAAAGGAATGGGAAACTGGGCCTGGCAACTGGAAAAAAAAGAATGGAAATTCATTAAAATAAACTACCAATTTTTGATACATATGGGTTCATACATTTTTATTATTTCCCTCTTTAAAATAAATTTGCTCTGAAATTTAAAAATATTTTATATTATTAAAAAAAGAAAATTTATAAAATATTTAACTTTTTAATATCATTAAAATTTTCTACAATTTTTTTGTTAATTTAAAAAAAAAGCACTTCTTTCTCTGTGCTGATACCCAACAAAAATCAGTAGGAAAATCTCTCCATATATATATTCTACAATTTTTTTGTTAATTTAAAAAAAAGCACTTCTTTCTCTGTGCTGATACCCAACAAAAATCAGTAGGAAAATCTCTCCATATATATATTATATCCCCCATCTGTGTCTCCACTAATTTGTACAAATGCCGCGCTTTCAATAAATTTGCGGTCACAAATTACCTGGACCACACTCACGGGTGTGCGGACTGTGGCTCCGGAATACCCGAATACCGGAATCTGGTCTGCGGTCCCTGGCATAGTTTAAATTTGCGGCCAGCTGCACAAACAAGGGTGACCCGGAAACAGAAACCTCAGCTAAATTAATGCAAAAAGTCGCTGGCCACAAAACTAATTTGTCATGCGTTGGCCAAAGGTAGGAAATGCCCCATGGACAGGGACTCAGAACGAATGGAAATGCGAATGCCATTACCCCCCATGTACATTGTACACCTCCACCTACACATTTCGCAAGGGCAACTCAATTAAAATGCGCACAATTATGCGCCAAATGCCAAAGCCAGCAGAAACCGCACATTTTACGTTTATGGGAGCTGGGAGTACGGGTATTATAATGGATACCATAATATAATATTTTAAAAACCACAGAAGGCTGAAAAATTTGTGTACTTGTCTGTCTCACTTCATTTAGATCATAAGAGATTATATCTTTCGGATCTCAGCTTAATATCTTTTTAACAACCAAAATTCAGCGCAACATTTTTGGTCATACCCAAAGGCTTCAATTTACCACAACGAACTTCTCGAAACAAGTCCTTGAGCATATTAAACGTATACCGCATAAACATGTTTCATTCATTTAAAACCAACTTTAAATGAGCTTAAAATGTTCGACATTTAGTGGGCATCAAGTGCCGGACACATCAAAGCCATTGTGCTCAACTACTTAGACCTGCTCCAAGTCCTTATAAAAGCCCCCTTTTACCCTTTGCTAACACACCGCACCATTACTTTCCATCGTCCTGGGAAGCGGAATGTAACCAAAAATCACGTATACGTACAGTGGCCATTAAGTAATACGAGAGCCAGCTGCACTTTGGGTCCACTTCTTTACAGCAATTACCGTTCTTTCGCACTCAGTTTGACTACGTACCACCCACCTACCATGCCCACCGCCCCTTTTTTGGCCACACTCGGCCTTTAGCTTCAATTACTACACTAAGAAAATATGAAATATTAATTTACACTTATTACATTTGCAAAAGTTAAATAAATTATTTTAGATAGGCTTTGTAAAAAAAAAAATATTTATGTTAGGGATAAAAATAATAGAATCTTTAAAATATATAAAGATTTTACATTTTAATTAACTTCTTGATGAATTATTCGATGAATTACAAGAAATGTTTATTTAGTTTCTTCTACTCAAGGAAAATCTTGTAATAGTCATTATACATTTAATTAAGCAAGCGGAATAGCGCACATTAATTATTTTGATACTGATACGGGTTAGGATCTAGTTTTCTAAGTACAATACACTCTATTTAATTTGGGAATGGTTCTCCACTGTGTAGTTAGTTAGTGGCACCCACATGGTGAAATCAACAAGCACCACCCACATTTGTCGTTCGACTCACTCATTTCGCTCTCTCCTCACCCACGTTCTTCTCCTCTCTCTCTCTCTCTCTCTCTGTCTGTCTTTCTGTCTCCCTCGATGTCCTTTCGCTACCCGCAGGACTACGTGACCGTATACGATGGCTACACCACACGTGACCCCATCATATTGAAGTTCTGCGGCGGAGGTCAGGCGGTGCCGGCGGCCGTTTCCAGCGGCCCGGAGCTTTTGGTCGAGTTCAGCACGTCGCCGTTTGGCACCTTCACCGGCACCTCGTCGCAGGTCCTGCCGCTCTACGGATTCCAGCTGGAGGTGGGTACCGGGTACCAAAGGTGGCTGTCCAAAGGGATCAAACAGCAAACCATTTTGCCTTCTCCATCCGCAGGTCGAAGTGCAGTTCGTGGACATCCAGAGTCCCACGTACTCGAAGAACAAGAAGCCCTGCGAGTTCTGGATTCGCGGCGCAGGTCGCGGCCTCCTCGAGAGTCCCAGGCACTCGCTGGCTCCGAACTCGACGTGCCTGTACCACCTGCAGGGATTGGGTGTCTTCAAGACCTTTGACCACCTGAGTTTGTCGCGCCGCACGAGCAGCCAGTCGGGGATGCATCAGCCCCTCTCGCGCTTCAAGGTGTGGATCTCCGTGTTGAAGTTTAATTTGGATCCGGAGTTTGGCCAGATGGACGAGACTTCGGTGGGTGCGATTGGAGTGCTGCAGACGCAGGAGGATTGCAGTGGAATGCTGCGCATCTGGGATGGAACGCTGAGGGATGCGCCCGTTTGCAAGGATTTGAATTGGTAGTCTAAAAAATAGTAATAAATAAATAATTTTAATAATAATAAATAATTTAGTGCCAGCGAGACGAGCAGCTATAATACTTTGGGCCACTATGCTCAGAACTCCACCAATGTGATTGCCAGATTCTGCAGGGGCACTATACCAAGAACCTGCGATCGTTCCAATATCAACGAGACCTACGCCAGACCCTGTACGATCTCCGAAAGCTATGTCTCCAGCAGCGATGCCATCACTCTTGAGCTGCGCAACACGGAATCCACAGTTTTGAGGTGGGTTTTCCTTCGAAATATATAACTAAATCAATGTTAACCTTCCCCTTTAGACCCCTGGACTTCAAGCTGAAGTACGAATTCATAGACCTGCATCAGGATGGTTTGCCCTGGGGTGGCGGGGAACACGATTGCAACAGGAAGTTCCTAAGCAGCATGATGGATCGCAAGGATCCAGCTATATTCCGTAGTGTGCGGAATATCTTTCTATTCGGAAGGGGAGGCACCAGGAACCTGAAGTGCATCTACAAATTCGAGGCACAGCGAGGCGAGAGGGTCAGGATCAAGATGAGAAAAGTGACGACCACGAATAGGGCTTGCTATTCGCGAGTGGATGAGGATATCAATCGATCCTTTTGCTATGGGGATACCAATGTTAGAATTGAGGTAGTATAACCCACTTTAAGCCAAGTTCCCTTAATAATTTATAAATCTTAACTTAGATCTTTGAGCGACCCTATCACGATTCTATTCTCCTCCATCGCGGCTGCATGTGCAACTCGTCCAACCAATCCCACCTTCCAGTGGAGTACACTTCCACCAGTCGCGATGTGGAGGTGCACTTCATTGCCCACAATATGACCACCTTGGATGATCCGGACACGGTTAATTTCGAGGGCATGTTTGAGTTCGTAAAGGCGCCAACTAGTTGCAAAGATGGTCGCAGGAAATTCGGACCCAGTGGCACTATAGACATGACCTTTGGCGATGTATGTGGCCTCTGTTAGCCTGAGGTTACATGAAATTATATCATACAATTATCTATTTCAGGTCGAGTGCCGCTCAAGACCCTGGCTGATTGAGCCTTCGAATGGCAACAAGTTCTTGTACGTCCGGCTGAAGGCTATATTCCTAAGCAAACACAATCCCACGAAGACCTTGAACACGACCTATGTTCAAACCGATACTTGGAGGTGTGAGACCAAGTCACGGGCTGTGCTGACCACTTCAGAGGGTGAGTTACTATTTTTTTTTATAATTTAATAGTATATATATATGAATCCTTTCTCATTCCTTGAAAAAGCCCAAATTAAATTATAAATCTAAATTTCAAATAATAAATAAAAATGTAACTAAAGCGACACCTTGAAAAAGCCCAAATTAAGCTCAAAATCTAAATTCTAATAATAAAATTAAAAATGTATCTAATTCAACACCTCAGACGAGCTGAAGGCCTTAGCTGCTAGAGCTCTTAATTCTTAGTTAGCTTATAGTTTTAACTTTAAGTTTGCTTTATATAAATAAATAAATAAATACTAATACCTTAGGTCTGACCATTGTGGCCTGTCCTCTGAGTCCCGACTCGAGTGCCTTCGAATTTGTGGAGATCTTCAGTTCCGGCTGGAATGAAAGGCCCAATTTTGCGCTAGTCAATCGATCCCGAGCCATCAGCGTGGAGTTCCTGCGTCCCGGCAATGGCGAGTACTCATTCAACTGGATGGAACTGATTCCCAGGCCCACGCTTAGCATGGCAGGTAATTTTAAAACGATCATCTTTAGATTTAAAATTAAATTTTAATGAAATCCTGTCCCTTAGACGACTGCCAGTTTAAATGCGCCGAGCTGGGGGCCTGTGTGAATGCCAGTGTCTGGTGCGATGGCGTAGTCCACTGCCCCTCCGGTGATGATGAGACCTTCCTGCAGTGCTCGGCCCTGATGAAGCTGCCCGCCGAGATCCTGGCCACCCTCTGCCTCATCTTTGTGCTCTCGTGTTGTGCTTTCGCTGCCTTTGCCTACAAGTAAGCGGGGTTATTTTATATTCCATAAATAATTCAATATTAATATAATTTACTTAGAAAAATCAAACGCAAGCTGCGCGGCTCCTCGGTGCTGCAGACGCGACTCAAATCGCTCAGCTCGATGGACACGGCCGTTTTGGATGAAAAGGAGGTGATTTGCTGACAAAGCGACAATTCTGTGCGTTACGTGGAGATCGACCGTGTGACCACGGTCTGATGCTCCAAGGCCAGTAACGTGCAGAATTGTGCCCCGGAACAGAAATCAGAACCAGAATCGCCACCACAGAATCAAGAAAGACAGAAACTGAAACTGAAACCACAAATACAACTGACGCGAATGCGAAACGCAACAATGAAACGATCAAAAGAAAAGGCAACTCTTTTTCGAAATCAAAACCAAAAAATTCAAATCAAAATCGTTCACCTGTTTTTTAAACTGCATTTATATGAGAGCGTATCCGCTACAGATCGCAGGAATTTGTTCGTTCTATTTGTATTATCGTCTATTTTATAGATCGCAATTTGTCTGTTTTTATTTTTTAGTGTCGCGCAATTTTATAAGCAATTTTCTAGGCCTAGGGTTTTTCGTATGTATTTTCGATATATGATTTCCCAACTCGACCCGCGGAACACAAACGCCCTACACACACTGTACATACTAACGATTGCGTAAGACACACGGAAGGACGAGGACCAGAATTCGGACAGATCTGACCAGTTAAAACTTCCACTAGGTTCGTGTCTTTGGTTCTTACTGAGTACTCATAGACCTATGTAGATACAACTGTTTCCTAATAGCCTTTAAGTGTATCGTACTATGCTAATCAAAGAACCGACTAAAAAAAGAGGTCAGATGGGTTAGTTTTTTCGGGGAATGTTTCAGAAACTCCCACAGCATTTATTATGCGGCGCACAAAAACGAAAGAAAAGAAAAGATGAATAGAAACCAAATAAAATAAATAGGAAGAAATCCAAAGGAGTAAGCGAATTAATCGACAATTCCAAGAGTAATAGATCGTAAGTGGAACATGTTATACATTTTAAGATTGATGGATGCATCGTAAACGTAATTTAGTCGCCAGAGGGACGCGGTGGTTAGTCGAATATGTCAATAAACAATAGAAGCTAGATGAATTCGTTAGTTGTTTAATAGACGTTGTAGTGATCATGGATAATATCAGCATAATCAAAGCTAAATCAAGCCAACAATTTAATCAAAGTACTCAAAAAACCAGTCGAATCGAAGTCGAATTCAGTCATTCAGTCAGCTCACGCCCATTGTTGTTAATGTTGTTTGTTGTTGTCTCCAAAGTGCACAGTTCGCTTCATGCCACATCATCTAGCGCCTGCTCCCTCACCACCAAACCAAATCAATTCCAAATCAAATCAATTTAAAACCAAATCTTTGCATGGTAATCCTCGTATGTTGGCTCTGGGCTCAATGGCAGCTGACTTAATCGAATCCTTTTCTATTTTGTATTCTCTCTTTGAACATCCCTTTTGTGTCGAAGAAAAAAGCCGTCGTTGAGACCAAGATCTAAGGCAGATCGGGGATCGTCTGGCCAAAAACGGAGGGAGCAGGGATCAGGGACTCCGAAAACAAGACAACACAGCAGAGTGTGAATCAGTCGAAATGATATTTTTGTTGATGCTCTTCTTCCTTTTAAGAACTGTAAATAAAACAAATAGAAGCTGTATGATATTAACAATTTTACATTGAGCGTTTTATTTTCCATTATGATGTACCACTCAGTTGCACTCTCAAATAGTGAACATGTTTTGATATTCGAATCAAACTCAGACAATAAATGTTAAAATCCATTATTTTCGAAACTCGGTGGTAACTTATTTCCATTACTATAGCGAATCTCCGACTGCTGATTACATTCAAGCGTAAATAATTATACAAAAACCAAACGAAAAGCTCAACTACTAAACTAATTAAATCAAATTAAATATTAAAAACTTAACGAGTTATTAGCGAAACTGCCCAAAATGAATAAAAATGAAAATTGAAAACATTTCTGTCGTAACCTAGATTAAAAAGCGCTGATCTTGAAACCGAACTGAAACCGGATGATTGTCGCCAGCAGAGTAGATTTTTAAATTTTAAATTAGTTTAAAGAAAAACGTAACTGATAATTAAAAGCGGAACACGGTAAACCAGCATGACTAAATAATTCGAATGTTGCAAAAAAAAATCATATCAGATTCTAAAATGATATTAAAATTAAATGGAAAAACTGAACAACTTAATAAACAAGCATTTAAATCCCCAAAACAAACTGCATGAGAACATTATTTTATACAAAACAAACTCTTTACAGCGCATTGGACATGCCGACATTTAACAAGTTGTATTGTAAATAAATACGTAGGAATATAAAATAAATATACACAAAATAAACAAGTAAAAATCAAAGGAATTACCAACCAATCGAATAATTTAAAGTTCTATAATATTAATCCTTCAAATACGTGGGGAATTGAGTGTCCTCGGAAGGTGGGGCTGGTATGGTCACGCCACCTGTATCCACAGCAGGTTCATGGGGCAATGAATCCACGCTCTCCAGCGGCATAAAACAGTCAGCTGATATCTGGGAAAAAATTCAAGTTGATTCAAAAATTACCTGAGATACTAGTATAACTCACCTCGCCATTCTTGTCGCCCAGCTTGCGAGGATACTTAAAGCCAGCGGCACGCGAGGCATCCATGGAATCCTCACAATTCGTGATCAAACCCTGCCGATGATCCTGCTTGTGGGCCTGCAGCCGTTCGGCATTTATAGAGGTGAAGCTGCAAAGATCACAGCACAAGTCGCGATAGGCTTCGGCATGATTGAGGCGCATGTGACGCTTGAGGGCATTGGCCTGGATGCAGTAGTACTCGCATTGGCTGCACTTCAGGCTGCTGGTGTCCTGGCTGTCGTGGCGCTGGCGATGTTTGTGCAGGACACTTGGATCGCGGGTGGAGAACTTGCACTCGCCGCACTTCAGAGGCTTTTCGCCGGTGTGCTGACGCATGTGGATCTGGGGGAGACAATTATTAGTTATATTATTTAGACTAAATCTAGCAAAAACCTACTATCAAGCTGGCCTTTCTTGCCGTCTTCTTCCCACAAACATTGCAGATAAATGGCTTGATTTTGTTGTGCACCGATTTGACATGCTTGGAAAGCGTTTTGCCATTGACGAACTTGCGATTGCAGATCTCGCAGGTCTTCTCCGCATAGTATTTGTTCTTCTTGGAGGCGGGAGGCGGAGCTGGAGGCTGTGTGGCCACATCCCCAGATTGCTCTTTGAGTTTCCGCCTCCGTTGAACGGCGGCCAACGAGCGAAGCACCCGGGGTCGCCACTTCTTGTGGACCTGCATGTGTCGCCAGACGAGTGCGGAAATGGGTGACTTGTAGTTGCAGTCGAAGGCGGGACACTCCAGCAGATCCACATCCACCTGGTGGGCCTTCCACAGGTGAGCCGAGCAACGCCTCCAGTTGGGCAGCTCCAGGCCACATTCGCAGCAGGAGAAGCTGCCGCCCTTGTGGCAGCTGGAGTGGAGCTCCATTTTGTTAGAATCCTGGAACTTAAAAGGACATTCCCGGCCGAAGGAGCACCTGTAGAAAAATGAGAATTGGTTAATGGTTTAACTTGATTTATTGGATATACCTACGGCTCTTGCATGTTGGCCCTTAAAACCAGTCGAAAGTCCTTGAAGGGCATGGGCAGCAGTTCACTTGGCGTTGGTTTTGAGTCCTCCAATTGCAGCTCCAAGCTCTGTTTATCCTGGCAAATCCTGCCGACTGGAGTTTGTTGTTTAATTGAAGTCTTTGCCGTTTTGTTTTTGCCATTGGGCGCCGGAATCGGCTCGTAGCCGTGGAAATACACCAAATGCCCGCGGAGATCCTCCTGCAGATCATATTGGCGGAGGCACAGGCTGCACACATAAACAATACGCGGGGAAATATCCATTTTACATTTAATTCGCTAATTTTAAGGGACACAAAACATCACTTGTTGTTATCGGTAAGCACTAGAGATGACAGCTTTTCTGCACCGACTATCGAAATTTGAATTCGTGACTATTTTGATCTACTCCGATCTTTTTCTCCTACTTGATTACATCTTTTTTAAATTCCTTTTTTTGTAACAATAAAATTTACAGATTTACAATTTATTTAAATACAAAAGCAACAGGTTGCATAACTTTTTAAATCACGCGCCCTATATAACATTGTAACTGTTGAGTAACAGAGCTGTTACACTTATAGATGGCGTGTTTGTCTACCCTGTTAATAGTCCAGTGTTGAAAAACAGTGGTTTTCCGTGAAATCAGGATATCGATGGTATCGATGAGAAATCGTTTTTTGTTCCAGCTCTACTTCATCGGCAGTCAATTTTGTTATTTCGCGAAATTAATTTTTCGCATTTTCGCAACTTAATAGGCCAAAAAGTAGTCTCGGAGTTACCTAAAATGGGCAGCGCGCTGGAAAACTACGTGAATCAGGTGCGCACGCTGAGCGCATCCGGTAAGTTGGCCAACCGGCTTCCAGCGAGCACTTAAAAACCGGGGACTCGCCGTCGGCGCCGCCTTTGTTTTGATATTAAATGCGAATTTCGTCTATTTTCGGATTCCAGGAAGCTTTCGGGAGCTGGCCGAGGAGCTGCCGGAGTCGCTGTCGCTGCTGGCCCGCAACTGGAGCATCCTGGACAACGTGCTGGAGACCCTGGACATGCAGCAGCACTCGCTGGGCGTGCTCTATGTGCTCCTCGCGAAGCTGCACAGTGCGTCCACCGCGAATCCGGAGCCGGTGCAGCTCATCCAGCTGATGCGGGACTTTGTGCAGCGCAACACGCCGGAGCAACTGCGCTTTGCCGTTTGCGCCTGTGGGTTACAGTCCTTCTAGCTCATAGTTATCCTTAAAATTATTCTAATAATTCTTATTTAGTCTACGAAACATGCCATCTGTTCACCGAGTTCGTGGTCCAAAAGAACCTCAGCATTCTGGGCATACGCATCCTGTCGCGCGCCATCGACCAGATCCGCCAACTGGACACCCAGCTAACGCCCATCCACGCCGATCTCTGCCTGCTCAGCCTAAAGGCGAAAAACTTCAGCGTGGTGCTGCCCTATCTGGAGGCAGACATCACGGACATCTCCACCGTGGCCGCCGAGTGCAAGACGCAGCAGCAGCAGCAGTCCCAGCACACGGTAGTTGGGTTAGAAATCCTCTTGAGGATAAGAAGATCTAATAGTTCCCCCTTCTAGGATGCCAACAACGATGCCAAGTACTTCCTGCTGTACTTCTACTACGGCGGCATGATCTACACGGCGGTCAAGAACTATGAGCGCGCCCTGTACTTCTTCGAGGTCTGCATCACCACGCCGGCCATGGCCATGTCGCACATCATGCTGGAGGCATACAAAAAGTTTCTCATGGTTTCACTCATCGTCGAGGGCAAGGTGACAAGACAAGATTCCATCCATATATCAGTTTCTTAATCTTATGATCTGTAATTGCAGATAGCGTATATACCAAAAAACACACAGGTCATTGGCCGCTTCATGAAGCCGATGGCCAATCACTACCACGACCTGGTCAATGTGTACGCGAATTCGTCCAGCGAAGAGCTGCGGATCATCATACTCAAGTACAGTGAAGCATTTACGCGTGATAACAATATGGGACTGGCCAAGCAGGCAAGTATTTTGAGAATCTTAAATGATTTAAATAAAAAATTGTTTGATAACTCTTATTCTGAAAGATCAAAGAAAAGCCAACAAAGAACCACACAAAAACAAAATTATAAATATAACGCATATATAGACTTTTTCAAGGTGGATCAATGTCATAAACCATACTTTTAATACCTTGTCGTTTCAAATAAAGAGAATATTTAAATTGATGCGGAAGTTAATACGGCTAAAATGAAATAATTTCCGGTTTCTCTGAAAAATTTTATGTTTTACTAAATACTATCATACATTTTTGTTTATTTAATTTTAAAATATTTTTTACTTTCTAGGTAGCCACCTCCTTGTACAAGCGGAACATCCAGCGATTAACGAAAACCTTCTTGACCCTTTCCCTGAGCGATGTGGCCAGTCGTGTCCAGCTGTCCAGCGCAGTCGAAGCAGAGCGTTACATCCTCAACATGGTAAAATATTCTCTCAAATTTATCTTATTTCACTCTAATTAATTATTGTCCAACTGCAGATAAAATCGGGTGAAATATATGCCAGCATCAATCAAAAGGACGGCATGGTGTTGTTCAAAGACGATCCAGAGAAATACAACTCACCGGACATGTTCCTCAACGTGCAAAACAACATAACCCATGTGCTGGATCAAGTTAGGCAGATCAACAAAATGGAGGAGGAGATTATATTAAACCCCATGGTAGGTTTTTGCTACCAAAGTATATTTCAGTTCTTATTTATTACAAATAATTATTTATGTAGTATGTGAAAAAGGCCCTTGGCAGCCAGGATGATGACCTAACGTCGCAGCATCCAAAGACTTTCTCGGGGTGAGTTATTGAAATTATTCGCAAACTAAGAATAACTAATAATTGATTCTTTACAGCGATCCCACAGATTGATGATAACACTGCCGCAGATCCACCAGCAGCGTGCTGCTATCATTTCAACGCTCATCCAATCCCCCAACACCGTTTAACACACATCTTGTCGCAGCTGCGTGGCCCAGGGCCCGAAGGCTGAGGACTCCTGCAGTCCGAACTCATCCAGCTACCACAACAACAAACTGCGCTCTAATTGCAAATTTATAGATGAACATGCTATTTTAAATAAACTATGTATAAATCTATGACTAAGTCAGGGGTTCCTTATCACGTTTCTGATTGACTCACAAATTATACGTCTCGATACTGCAACGATAAGGCTGTTGTGCCTTTTCTACGCATTGATCAGGCGACATTTACTGGTTAAGTGCTTTGTACTTGCCCCCAATCTACCTTAATTGCCGTTGTTCAGCTATCGTTCAAGTTACTTTATTTACAATATCAATGTACATGTAACCTAACCTTAGGGCAAAAACGAACGAACGAATTAATTGACTAGAGGACCAGCGCGTTAAATGTAGTTAATTTCTACTCGTAAGCCTAGTTTCGTGTATTTAGGTCTAATTGCTTTTACGTTTATATATCATCATAACAGGCGTCTAGATTTTGTGGGTGGTTTGCAGCTGCCTTTTCCTCGTTCCTCGTGCTTCGTGCTCCAATCGCCCGAACTAAAACCGGAGCTCCGACATCGGACTGAGATTCTCGCGCCAGCTGCGCTGCTCGCCATCATTCTAACCGGTTTTCATGGCGTCTAGCTCCATGATGGAGGTCTTCAGCGGCTGTGCGGCTGCGGAGAACGGAACCGAAGATATCTCGCCGCTGGAACTGCGATACAACAGCTTGTGGACCACATTGACCAGTATGAAGCACAATATCAGCACTAGCAGCGACATAAAGACGTAGGCCAAGACCAGCGGTGCGTCCGAAATGGGATCCAGCATGATGATCGCTATTTGCATACACAAATATATATTTCAAAATTTGTTACTTCTGACTTTGTACTCCTTGTGCGTTCCCGTAAAGAAATGTGGATGGGTGTGTGTTGTAGTCCAAAACCGACAGACAGCTCAGGTTCAGGTAAAGAGACGGGTAGTCGCAATGCGTATGTTAATTAGCCACCCGAGCATATATAGCATGTATATGATATTCTGGAACTGTGACCGCGTCGGCGTTTCGTTCGTGTACGTCGCTTGACACCTGCCCGAGAACTGAAACGAGCCGAGAGCGTTAAATGAATGGAACTTTGCTTCGCATTACGTATACGCTTCGTTGCCAGACTGTTGTCGCTGTGTGGATGTGGGGACTACTTGTTGTGCGTCCAGTTTTTTGTTTTTATTTTTTTTAATTTATTTTTTGATAAGCTTTCTTGTGCAACAGAATCTGTGAGTTGGGCCGAGGCTAGAAAAGTTTTCCAGTTTGGAGTTCCAATCGATCGGGCGACCGATTTTCACGTCTGGCCACTTTTCGAGAACGAGCTATATTTATAACTCATGGAGGAATTCCAGCCGCATTCATATTCGCCTTGCAATCAAATCAACTCAACAACGCTGCCTTCTTAATTGGCCGCGTCAATAAAGAATGAAATGGCGTCAAGCGAATTGCTTGGGGTCTCTCGTGGCGACGAGATCTGGTTGGGGGGCTAGTGATTTCGGCAATTAGGCACGATAGCCCCAGGCTAACGGCCCGGTCTGGAGAGCCTTTTATCTATTGATAACGAATACCACAGTCAGAATGATAAGCCCCAAAAAACACGGGCCGCACAAATTAAGATTGCGGGACAGGGGCGTAGCTATAAATAGTTTTCATTCCAGAAATTTCCAAAAATATAGTGTTCCTATAGCTAAAGATCATTAACTCCTTCAAGATTTTCCTACAAAAGTAAACAAAAAATTTAAAAATCATCTTCAATGGTTATTGCTAAAAATGTTAAAATCGAATAAAATGTTTTTGAAAATAGCTTTAAAAATCTGCAAAAGTCAAAGTTTGATTAAAACCAGACTTTTAAATACCTACATATATTTAAAAATTTTAAACTTTAGAAAAAAAAATTCATCTGGAAATTAAAAAAAAAGAATTTTAATTTAACGTGACTAAATTGTTCCACTTTTTCAACAAAATAACTAATCAGCTGTGGACTTCTGATTTGTGCCGGCTATGGAGACGTTGAGAAAATCTGTCAGAAATGCCAATTATTTGTTATGCCATTAAATGCGTAATATGTGGTTTATTTATTTACAAAACATTTTTAGATTATACTGTTAGGGTTAAGCAAAGCCAACGATTAAGAACAACTAATGAGAACATTAAGCTAAATTTCTGGAAACTAATTTTAAACAAATAAAATTGGGAAACTATTTCCAACTTCTTTAAAAACAGAAATAACTATTGTTCTAGAGGGGGGACACCTACGCCACTGCTCCACTGACTTTCACCTTTGTTGTCACGCGATTTCCATAAACTGGCGTGAGCTCAGCGCCCGACCCACTGACCAGCCCGTCGACCCTGGAACCTCCACCCCATTGATCTTTGTATACAATTTAATAAAACGAGTTATACCGCATTAAAGCAGTCGGTTTTTAGAGGGCCTATCACCCCCCACCAACATCCAATAACCACACCCTTTTAATCCGGCAGCCGGGAGTTTCGTCGCGAGCCAGCAGGTCGGCAGGCGGCCGAGGTGTCCGTGCACTGGGCCTCCTGGTTATCCCTGGCCTCCTGGATCACATCGTCGAGGGTCAATTGCGTTCGGCTATCCAGCCGGGGTTCCGGCCGCCTTTGGTTGCACTTGAGCATGACTTTGAGGCGCGGTATCTTGGAGAGATGGTCAAAGAACCGGACGATGTGCACGGAACCCGAAGGACGGGGTTCTACGGCGGCACACGTTGGACCATCCCGGCAGTTGCACAAGAAACTGATGGCCTTGCGGCTGGAACTCACATCGAACTCGGCGCTGACCAGGTAGCAAGGTTCCAGGGACAAAACTATTCGCAGGACTACAGAGAGAGAGGGAACCCAGGAGGAAGACTGACTGACTCACTGGCGCACTAGCTTACCCGAAGAAGACTCCAAGATCTGAGACCGATTCTGTATCCAAACGGAGCGCAAGCTGGGCTGATTGGAGCGCGGATTCCGCAGCGAGCCATCCAGGTATTCCCGCATGGTCATCGCATGATGAGAATGGCGCAATCCCAGTATCTGTTGGCGGGAAGTTCCGGGCAAGGCGGCCAGCGGGAGGTTGTCGTACACCGATACATATATCTTGTGGCTTATGTAGACCACCACAAAGCACAGGATGACGATGAGCAGTCCGATCAGCAAATAGGTAAAGAGTGTGGGTATAAAGAAGATGGCGTCCAGAAACATGGGGCTCACTGACAGGATACGCAAATCTACAGAGAGGGTTTCGGGAATCCATGGGAGTAGCTTCGGTTTGCTTGATTTTTGCAACATCTATGTAAATGTATTTATTTCTTAGTTTCTTTTTGTGTTTTTTTTGTTCATTTTTTTTCTTGTTGGTTTTCTTGTCAGTTTTTATAGATTTCTGCCTTGTTTTTTTTTTGTTTTTACATACGATTTTACATTGATAATATTAGGCTTTTAATTTAATTGTATTCCACTCGATCTCCATATCTCTATAACCACTGCCTGCATTTCGGTCTAAAGTTAATTTTTTTTAGCATGCCCTCCTCTTCTTCTTTCGTTTCTAACCCGCCGGCGGGTTCCATCTACGCCCAAATGGGCGTGGCCTGCACACGGCACAGACCCCATACAAATTTCCTAGGCTCAACCTTTTTGCATTTTGCTCAATTACTAACAGTGTGTGTCATAGCTCAAAAATCAATGCAGATTTCGTTTCGCTATATACTTCTGGGTATTCTGTAAAAGTGTCAAAACTTAAGCTTTTTTTATCTCCGCGTTAGCGCATTTCAAAATCGCTCTTTTGAGTTATGACTTTCTTCAAGTAAATTTGCGATCTGTGTGGCAAATGAGTGTGTGTGTGTGTGTGTGTGATGTAGCAACAGCTAAAGATAATGATCTATCGAGCAGATATAAGCTTTACAAATATATACACACAAATTGGTTTTGTTGGCTGTTTTCTTTCTGAGTGTTGTAAATGCAACTTCTCGTTTGGGTAATATTCATTAGTTCACAGAGATACACACGCACACTCACCCAGCACACACGCACACACCCAAACTCTGCGTTTCCAAATAGATTTTAAATTCTTGTAAAGTTATCTTCTCATTAGCTGGCAGTCGTTGAAAATGCCAAGTACATCAGTTTCAAAACTTTAGAGGTATTCCATGAATATTGCACTGTGATCAAATTTTATCTTAACGAAATTGAATCCCAAAATTAGAAAATTTTAAATTATTAAAAATAAGTGTTTAACAAACTGAATCAAAATATATAAAATACAAAAATTTACAAATGGAATTTTTCTCATTTAAATTTTCTAAAAAAAAAAAAAACATACAAATTCAAAAACTGGAATACCCCTTTGTATAACAGTTCAAACCAGGCATTCGCTGTGCTCAAGCTTAAATTAGTTATTAAAGAAATCATAAAACTAGGTTAAGATTACGAAACACCGTTCGATGAAGAAACAAGAAACATGTAGAAAAATCATGAATACTTCCATGATTTTAATATTTAATTAAATAGTTTCTGACTCGCTGACTTCATGTGCTACGCGTTTACGTTTAAATATAATTTACTAAAATTAAAATTAAAATGGTTAATTAATTGCTGCCGTTGTGTTTTTGTTCTAGACACAAAATAACGAATCATACAAGCGAAATACAATTTTTCATTCCTTTCCTATCTTTTTCCATGACTTCATGCCTCGTATGAGCGTGTGTGAGTTGTTCGTGTGTCTGTGTTTTGTGCCAGTGTGTGTTGCCTTTTTTGTATGATTTTATTTATTACACATATATTCATCTTCTTTATTTTTGTTTTTTTTGTTTGTTAAAAAACATTCAGATGTCTGTTGGATATTTAATGAAACGTTTTTGGGGGAGGCAGCATGTTCCATAAGTTATACAAATAGGTTTGTGTCTTCCGAAATGAGCCGAAGAACTTGAGAGAAGTTGAGTGAAATATATAGATAAAGCCTGGGGAAAACCATCTCCGAAATCGGGGGTTGCGGGGTGGGGAACATGCCGCCGCAACCTTTGCACAGAGACACACACATAACACAATTATGTAACTTCAGCACAACATACAGAATCAGATAATTAACATTTTTTTTGGCCCGCAGCCCCCACGCATTCTCAATCTTTGGATCGAGAATCGCGAACTCCTTGGCTTTGTGGCAATTAACTTTACACACTTATATAGTTTTCGGTTTCTTGTTTATGCTGCTGAGCGTTTGTTTTTTGCTTTTTCTATCCACCTATTTCTCATCGCCTTCATGTTGTTCTTGACGTTCGCTGCGTTGTTGTTTTGTTTGTTGTTTGTCGGTTGTTGTTGTTGATGTTGTTGTTTTTCTGCTGCTCTTCTGCTCTCTGTTGTAGTGGTTGTTGTCGTTGTTGCTGACTTAAACGGACAACGAGACGAAACTGTTATACTGCGTAATGTTGCGTTTGAGTATGTCGGCGCAGGGTCCCAAAACTCGTTCGAATCTGTGATAAAAAAGGGTTTTATTATTAATATAGAAGTTTTGGGATTTGTGTTAAAACTTATATGGTCAAATCTAACAGATTTCTAAAACGTTGTATTTTGTTTGGTTATAATTAATACAATTTAAATTGAATATTTTAAGTTTAGAGTGATATTTATCATCATACATATTATTACTATGTTTCTATTGCTTCAAAAAGCAATAAATTGTATTTAATAGGAACCTAATTAAGATGTATTTTTGTTTTGTTTCAAAATGCCAATAGATTTTAAAGTTTATAGACCTAAATAAAATACAACCTCATAAACATACATAGTTGTCAAGGGCTAGCAACCAATTTTTTCTTAAGTTAGGTAAGCCATAAAAATCTGAACCTTTTAATTTTCCTCAGCTGACTCCACTACTCACCTCGCCCGGTCCAGTTTGACGCACTTGAGCGGCCCGCGGGCCACGACGGTCGCCGCCCTTGGTCGATCCAAAAGCAGAGCAATCTCGCCAAAGTAATCACTGCTACCCAGACGGCCCACTTCGGCGGGTTCCTCGCCCTGCTGATTAGATAAGATAGATTTCATTATTGTGAATCTCTGCAGGTGAGACAGATTCGAATCTCGGTCACTCACCTCGGAACGCTGCTGCAGCACCACCGCACAGCCCTCGAGGATAATGTAGAAATCATCGCCGGCGGCTCCCTGCTTGACAATCGTTTCGCCATCATCGAAGGAGCACGTCTCCAGCGAATCGGCCACTGTCAGCCGCTCCCATTTGTCCAGACTCTCCAGAATGGAGACGCGCGACAAGAACTCCTCGTACATCTTGCGCTTGCGAATGGTCGAGCCCATCAGGATGCGGCGGTAGGAATCGCGGTCGATGCCCCACAGCTTCACATCGGTCTTGGCCCGCACGGTGGCGGCGCGTGGAGTGCCATAGATGAGGGCCAGTTCGCCAAAGCTGCCGCCCTCGCTGATGGTGGTCACCAGTTCGGAGTTGACAAAGACCTAAAAGAGATTTAAATAGGTTATTAAAGATTCAAACACACGTAAAAGAGTTAAATAATAAATTTATCGATATTTTCGATATATTATTTCGACAATATCGATGTTTTCAATTGCAAAAAATATTCGATTTCGAAAAATATTATAATGTCGATATTTTTTTGGTCTTTTACAAGTTTACAAATTTGATTACCCTACAGAAACCCATTAATATACTCACATCGACCTCGCCCACATCGATTACGTAGAAATTATCGCCTTCGTCGCCCTGCTGGATGATATTTTCGCCGGCAATGTGATTCACGGGGAACATGGCATCGAATATATCGGATCGCTCGCTCTCGTCCAAATGGGCGAAGAGGACGTTCTTGGCGATCGCCTTGGACAGGGCATTCATTGTCTTGTAGTCCTTGGGCACCACCTTCTTCACATAGTTGGCGGCATCTTCCTCGGTGACGGGCTCCGCGGAGATTCCGCCACGCCGGCGAACCGGTGGAGCTGCTGTCTGTGGCATCGGGCTGAGATCTTCGCAGTCGTCGGGGCTGATTACCTGCCTACTGGCATCCAGTTTGACTTGTTCCTGCCAAAGATAAAGATAAAAATAACAATATCATGAGTATTTTGGGTTTGTTTAATGGCACACAAATCGCGGTTCATTATCACTTTATTCAATATCTCGCGAGAGAAAACATATGCATAATTTATAGACCAAGTAAAGACAGATTAACATGTAATATATATGTAACAAATATTCTATAAATAGTTGAACCCTGTTGCCAAATATCAAAGCTTAACACTTCCCCTCAATCAACAAATATTGCTCTCACTTTTTGAAATTTCGGAGGGGGAAATGATATGATTAAACTGCTGCAGGAGTCAACTTTCAAAGTGCGTTGGCGTTTTGACTAAAAGCCAGATAAATGTGCGTCACTCTCAATGGGCCTCTGGGAACTGCAACCAGTGGTTGCTTTGTGCAGCACGAGATGCGCCGCACCCGGGAAAGCTCTTCCCGCCCACATCCGCAACTCATAAGCTCCATATTACCGCTTCGGAAATCAAAAGAGAAGCCAAAAGCGGGAAGCCAAAGAGCTTTACATCCTGACTTTTGTTGCGCATTCCGGTTGCCCCGGAGTCCCTATGCAAATCAAATCCCGAGGTGCCCGTACTCCCACCCAAAAGCTGCAATGTCCAGCTGTCCAATTGCAGTCCGTTTCCCACTGTGACGTCAAACCACTCGAGCAGAAATGGCCAGCTGCTGTCCCAAGATGCTGATTAAGTTGCATTAAATTGTCACTCGCTGGCAGTTATGGCTGCAATTGAAATGCGTTAGGATCAGTGTCCTATAAATAGGCTGGGATGGTCCACTTTAATGGTTTCTCGAAGGCAGACAGCATTTTGGGTTGCCAAAACGGACATTATCTGGATTAAATACGATGTTAAAGATCATAACTAATTGCTGTAATGCTTTGGGAATTTTAAAATGAATTAAATTATTAGTCTGTTGAGTTGCATAACATTTTACTATTCCAATAATAACTCACAAAATTATTTTAAAAATTGTTTCCAAACAGCTAAAGCATCAACAAAAAATGATTTTCCTCCTAAACATATTTCAATCAAAAAACCAAAATGCTTTCCAAGTCATATCGAAGTGTTTGCATTTAATATAAAAATAATTGCACTTGATTTGATTCCCCCACCCAGCCGACCGCAACCTCTTGAACGCAATTATTTTACCAGCCAGCCATAAACATCATTGTGGCCCGCCAAGAACTTCAAATGAACGACGTCGCTCATTAATTTTTATTGTCTAAACATTTCGTGTATTATACCAAACCAAAAATCGCATGAAGTACGCAGGAATAGTGTAAACAAAAAGCGGTGGGCAAAAGCAAAATAAAAACAGAAAACCGCAATTAATAGGTGAGCTAAGCAATTTGCCAGCCGATCATGGATTGTTCATCGACGATAACGAACTACTCAATGAATTCCCCCAGCCGAATGTCGCCTCCACCAATTGACGGAGCTCTTGGGTGGCTGCCAGTCAGCTGAAGGAACCTGAAGTCAGGCAGTCAGGTGTCAAAACAGAAGATAAACGAGTGCTGCCGCCCAAAAATATCAACGTTTGGCATACAAATGTCTGTTAATTAAGCAGAGATAAAGTCGAGCTTATTACCTCAGCAACTAAAATGATAAATTTAATAGAATTCAACATCTTAAAATTTCCAAAATATGTTAAAAATAAATTAGTTTAAGTTTGTGGTATAAAATAAGAAGAATTAGACAATCTATTATTGGATTATTCACTTTATGGGAAGTTCGCTGGGAGATCAGTGAATATATTTTTTATTATATTTGTTTTTTTTTATTATTTATTTTTTTTTTTATTTATTTTTTTTTATAATACAAATAACTACTTAAGTGATTCCAAACAATCGGACTATAAAATAGCAAATATACTGCAAAACTTTGATGAATAATTTCCAAAGCCCCAAGTTCAGAGCTGCCAAGTATGTAAATTGCATACTCTACTCTATCATGCAGTCAGCTTACTGGGTGGCAGTATCAAAACATTCCCGATTCCCCCCCTTTTTGCAATTGCAAAACTTTGCAACTTTGTTTACGACCATTTAGCCAGGGACAGCGCCCAGAACCGAGAGCCCAGAAACGAGAACCGAGAACGGAGAACCCAGAACCCGGCACTTTGAGAGGCGCGTGTGCCTGGCGATGTGACCGTGACCTTTGTGCAGACGCGGAGTCGGCGCCCAGTCGACTTATAGCCCTGGCCCTGGCCATGGACATGGCCATGAAGCACCCAACAACCAACACAGCCCAGCCCAACCCATCGCAACCACCACCCACCCACTCTCATCACCCTTTGACCCTCTGCGATATTCCTCGCGATTTTCCCGGGCGACGTTCAGCTTTTGGCAACGTTCCCTGTGACATATTAAACGGAAATCGATTTCGGATTGTAAATTGAATCCAATCCCCGCCCGGATGGGCTGACTTTGCGGTCTGGCCCCGCCTGATTGGATGGGTGTTCATTTTCCACGTACATGGGCCCTGACTTTAAAGTGGAGTCTTGTCACCAGTCACCCGCCTTATCAACGGGGTTCGCTAATAAAACGGCAAATAACATTTATGGGAATCATGACAAATGCAGGTTTTGATTAGGTGACGACAATTGGTGGGAAAAGGTGGGTGCGACATGTGCAAAGGGTGGGCCAAGATGCGGTGACGGCAAGGTAATGAAGCCTAATTACCCGGCATTTTCATCTATTACGAAATCAATTATGTTTAATAACCTTGTATGGCTGCCCGCAGAGCTATTAACATGTAAGTTGTTGAAGGATTTTATATCTTAAAAAAACTTTAAATATTTTAATTTTTAAGATTTTAAAATATATTTCCCATTTTCGTAAAGGTTCTTTCTTTTCTCCAGTTAAAGTGTTCTTTAAGCAAAAATACCTGAGAATGTCTTAAATTTTGAAAGTAGATCTAGGAAATTACTTTTGAAATATTTTCAAAATAGAAAACAAACACAGTAACTGGAGACCCTTCATTCAAGTTCAAATTTCAGATTGCCTTGCTGAGGCCAACAAACAATCAGTTTGTATAATACTTTCGTAAGAGACACAACTATTTCTAAATAAAAAAAACTGTTGAAAAAAAACCTCATAAAATTCAAAACAAATTTCATATTTATTTTGTACTTTCCGTAAACCAAATTGGCAGTGAAAAATTCGTGTTTCGAATATAGTTTTTCCCGAAGATAGATAGGTAAATATAAGTGATATACAAATAATAAATATTAAGCAGCCTTCTCAAAAACTGTGGACAGTGATTAGAAAATGGAATCGAAAGCAAGTGTTCCCAAGGACTATTTATTCGGTGGCGCCAACCCCGTCGGCGGTAGCGATAATGTTTGTCACAAAAGGAGGGAATCCAAGTGTGGCAAACCGATGAAAAGTTGCTCCAAGCCGAGGGCCAGGTGCTCGAAGCCCAGGAGGAGTTGCGCCAAACCCAAGGCGAAGTGCGCCCGAGCCAAACCAGCTTGTCCCAGGCCCAGGAAAAGGATGGAGTGCTCCAAGCCCAGGGCGAGATGCGCCAAGCCTAAGCCAAGGTGCCCCATGCCAAAGTGTTCCAAGCCAAAGCCATCGAGTCCGAAGCAAACGTGTCCTATGTAATCGTAGGACCCCTAAAACCTATATATTTCGGGCACATTTTTAGGACCAGAGATCAGACCAAAAATGTATCAAAAATGCTTGTTGGCAGTACCAGAATCAAAGAAGTTGGAAAACCTCCAGGAAACCAAGATATCGAAAAAACGGTTACGAAAGCCCATAAATTCCCCACCAAGATGCTTTCACAGAACCGAGGAATATGGTTAATGCCTGGAAGGCCCAACTTCAGATTCCTTATGCCATCTACAAGCGATATGTTTTCTCGGAAAATAAACTTGTATATCAACAATGTATTTGGTTTTGACAACAATAACTGAGAAATTTCCTTGTTTAGGATCCCTAAATTACTTTCCCTTTATTCATGAAAATATTTTATTTTTCACTGAAAAACAGATACTAGTAGAGCTAAGTATTTCCTGCATATTCGTTTAACTATTGGCACTATAGATATTCACAAACTGCATAAAGGTTTAAAGTTTTTTTTTCTCTAATAGCTGGATTTTGTCGGGAGGTAACAAGAGAAAGTGAGTTACAACGGCGACAATAAAACCCTGATGAGGCGACAAATGGATCCACATGCTGTGAGGTAGAACATATGTACAGCCGACGCGTACAGCATATAGTATATTGGACATGGCGGCATTGTTGCATCCAATGAGCATGAATAAAAACCAGCGGAGGCGTCGACTTCTGTGGGGGACAAGTCCGCAGAGGAGGAGAAAAAAAGCAAAAGCGAATGCACACAATTGTGCAACAGAATACTAAATATTTACCTCTATGAGGGTGTTTTTTTTACTCTTTTTGTAATATTCTGTTTTTGTTATTTTCCGTTTGTGCTGATGAATGAGCGCTTATTGAATAGACGTACAAACTAGACTTATGGTCTACAAACTATGACAGCCACTAACAGACTCATTTATTTATGGCAAACCTTAGACATGTTTCTCCTGTGTTGGTGCTTGTGTGAGTGTGTTGGTGTGTGTATCTGTGTGTGAGTTTTGGTTCTTTAGTTATCCGTGTGTTGGTGCCTTGTGCTACTTATGTGCAACAAATTGTGAAAACGCTTCGCTTCTAATATGGACACAGAAAAACAAACAACAAACAGCAGTAGTTGTAGTAGTAGTTAATGAAAAACGCGCGACGTGGGATTTCTGTAGAATATCTCTAAGATTTTCACTCTCGGATTTGTAATAACGATGCTTTGCTGACAAGAAAGACAAAAGCGAAAAAAAAAAAAAGAGCGGACAGAAATATATTATAAAAATATTACGTATACGCGGCGTGGACAGGCGAGCAAAAACAGCCGCCAGCAGCAATGACAAATCCAATGTCAAAGTTTGATAAAAATAAATATTCATAAATGCTGCGAACAGCTCTGAAACAATTTTCTTTAAATTGGAAATACTTTTGGGTAGCCAAAAAACGGACTTTCGAATAAGTAAGCCACTTAAAAAGTTGGGGAATGGAAGGGCTACGAAAGAAACTAATGGGGCCCCACTGCGTATGATCGATATTTCAGCGGATGGCTGAATAAAATATGTTGAAAAATTCTAGGAACAGCTCTGTAATAAAAAACTTTAAAATTTAAACCACACAAAAAGCTATTTAAGTGGTTTTAAAAAAAGGAAATCACTTTAAAGACAAACTAAATGAAAATGTGTCCCCACTGCGTATGATTAATATTTTGGTTTTTTAACAAGAAATAAAAATAAGCTTTTTTGAAAATGTATTTTTTTTAAATCCGAATTTTAGAAGATTAAATTAAATTTTTTAATATTTTAAAATCGTGAATTCAAAGGTCCAAGTAAATTAAAGACTGTTCTCCACTGCGTATGATTAATTTTTACGCCATTTAGGCTATTAAAAGAAATCGCAGCAAATTTAATTGGCATAAATGAGCGGCAACGGCTATGAAATATAAAATTATATAAAAAAGAAATCCTAAAAATATATTTATGAGATCGTGCGTCACTAGACCCCCGCATTATACACATAAATATTTGATTTATTTTTCCTGCTAGTGTCCAATTTAATTTTGTTCACTTGGCTCCTTCGCTTTCTGCTGTTTTTCCTGCCATTTATAATTGCTTAATTAATCCAATTGCCAAGGAACACACAGTGTTCTTGTTCTTCTAGTTCATATGGTTCTTGTTTTTTTTTTTTTTTCTGTGTTTGTCTACCCGCTGTTTCCGTTTTAATTATTTAGTTGTTATAAGCTGTTGTTATTGTTGCTGCAGTAGTCGCGACTTTCGATTCAGCGATTGTCTTTTTTCGCGTATTTACAAAACGGAGGCGCGACACAAACTGAAAACTCAATTCGAAATTCGCGTTCAACTTGCGACAATCGACGTCAGCGTCGCAGTAAACGCAGGCAGAGGCGCTGCGCCGACGTCGGCCGAGGCAGCGACGGCGGCTTCATCTTTCCACACTAGTTGCCCTCACATGAGTGTGTGAGAGTGTGGCTGCGTGTGTCTATGTGTGGCTGGGGGTGGTGGGCGAAACCGTTATGTGGTGTAGGGCGGATGAACTGCCGACCATTTTTGCGGTTTGTGGTAGGTTTTTAAGCGGCTAAAAGACTAACGATTTGCTGGACAGTAGCTCTAGTGTGTAATTGCACAGGAAAAATATGTATAAACATGTTTTATATTTTCTAAAAATATTAAAAGTGATTTGGTAAAAACACAACAAAATAATAGATTAAAAAAACAAATTTTGTTAGGAATTTAAAATATTATTTATTTATATTTGAACAGCCTACTGTGTTATTTATATTTGTTTTAAACATCCAAATATTAATTAAATGAATATTAATGAACCACAAATAATAAACTCTACCGAATTTTTCTCAATGTATAAATGGAGGTAAACGCAAAACACAATGTTGAAACAAGTAAAAATAAACAGGGAAAGAGGTAGGTGTAATGAGCAACAATAAGAGGATTAATTAAGACTGAATATGACATTGGAAAAATTCAAGGCCACTTAAACTTTAAATAAAATAAAATAAAAAAAGATTTCAAATTAATGAAATGCACTGAAAAATAAACTGTTAAAATTTCCACATTTAAAGACAAATAAACTAATTTACTTGAGGTAGAAATAAAAATAATTGTTTATTTTTAATAACAAATTTTAATTAAGTTACCTTTACAAGATTTTTTAGTTAAATTTCTCTTTACTTTAATTCTTCCCAGTGCAGCCACAAAACGGCCAATCACAAGCGACATAAAAGAAAGTAAAAGTGGCCACAGGCTCACAAAAATATTAGAAAGAACATTCCCGCAAATAGGAATCATACACAGCAAATACAAACTACAAAAGAGCAGCTAATGGTCGCCACAAATTATGCGGCCAAGAGAGATAAATATTTGCTGAAATATGTAAGTAAAAGTGGGAGAATTCAAGGGGTTTCTCAGTCCCTCGTGCTTGGCAGTCTCGCAAAACAAATCAATTTGAGCGCCAGTGCCAAGAAGACGAGAAAAAATCGCGGAATGGAAAACGAAAAGAAATCCAAAGATTGTAGGCGGCTTTTAAGTATATATACAATTTATATATTTTTTTATTTGCCCAAGGCAGCGACGGAAACCAATTTGATTTGCTACGCTGGCGATTTATAGTTTCACGAGCCCATATAACAAACATGCAAATTCATTCGCACTACGTTTGATAAATTGTCAATAACAATTACATTAAAACAATTATGAGGCATCGGTAGATTTAATGCCCCGCAGCCACATGGCGTATACGCAACGTGCACAGATTTAGGCACTTGAAGCCATTGGATGCAATGCTCTCGTTAGCCCAAAGAGAGAAACTCAAGGTGGCCAAGAGGCGAAGGGCCCTCGATGTCGCCTAGTTGGGATTTACGCCGGTGTGGCAGTTGTTGGATTCTGAGGGGGTGGTTATGGGTGGGGTGGAGAACCTTGAGGCCAAGAAGGTGGCACGACAGGTTAAGTATGCCAATTTGTGCAGCGCCCGGAGGAGAAAAGCCTCTCAGGAGAGTCTAGTGCCGACTACAATTGGCTGCAGCGTCCCCAGAGTCCACTGGGAAAGCTGCTTTCCATTCTCATTTCGAGGCATTTCAAATTGCATCTCTCGGGTGAATCAGAAAAATATTTTCTTCTTCCTTGCTGCCTGTCGTGTAAATTAAAATGTCTATCAAAATGACAATTGCTTGGCATTTTGATATCCCATTGAGCTTTCTATTACTCTTTGGGGAATTCAAAATTCATCATTAGTAGTTGGTGACTCAGAGGACTGTAAAAATTAGATTTTTGAAGGCATTTCCGATTGCAAAAAAAAACTTTCTAAACACCTTCATTTAAAATTAAATTTTAAAGTTTTTCTTAATAAAATTTCTTTTTGATTTTCAGAATCTTTTTAATAAAAATGTACCAGTAATTATATAGATAACAATGCTTTTCTGGGAAAATTAATTATAAATAATAGGGACCTTTTAAATTCCTTCCTTTCTCCTTTTCAGTTTTTCTTCCTGACGCGTTGGCAATTTAAATTCCTTTCGGGACACCAAGCAGAACTCATTAAATGTGGGCCAAGCCAAACATTGGCCATAACTTTCTATCGCCTCACACTTGAATTCACTTTGTCAACGGACAAAGTTTTCATGGAACAGAGAGATTCAGCATGTGAACAGGACGAACAGGATGCGGGAGGAACTTGGTGCACTAAAATGCGGAAAAGCTCGTTTCCTGTCGCCATTTTCCACCTCTTTTCCTCCTTTTCCCCACAGGTGTGTGTGTGTGTGTGACTGCGTTTTATAATCGAATTAATTAAAATTTTGCGCCCTACTTGACGCAAAAATTATCCTTCTCTTTCGCACTCGCGTGCGCTTTTCTCTCACTTTAAATTTTCCCACTTTATGGCTGAAAAGACCCGTATAAAATATAAAAACCGTGCTGCATCCGCTTTTCCATCGGCCCTCCGGCGCCTCGAAAGTTGGTTCAGCGAAATTTCCAATTCAGTGAACTTTTTGTTTTGCCACGCCCCCTGAAAATGCTCCTCTTTCTCCTTTTTGAAACCATCAGTTATGCTGGACAAAAACCTTTTTGTCGGCCTGCATAAACATTATTTTTGGGGACACACAAAAGGCGTGCGTATATATATACCCCATAGATTTTGGGTTATCCAGCTGCCCATTTGATGGCCAGGCAATGTCCTGCGAAAAAGGACACGCCACAATCGTCGTCACAGCTGTCAGCAAACGAACAGCCATCCAGAAAATTGACAGCTGAATCCTTCAATATTACCCAATGACGTCAGCTGGACAAAAGGATTTACAGGTTTATTCGGCAAAAGGAAAATTTTTAATTTGGCAACTGTTGCGCTCCGTTTCGCAGCCTTTTTCTTTATTAGCCAAATTATTCATGGACACTCGGTGTCGGGGGAGCTGCGTTTATAAGCCGCTTAATGGATCGGCACACACACACAAAAGGTCGCCACATCCGGCAGATACGGATACGCATTTCGCCAGAAAACTTTTCCCCAAACACAATGGTCTTTTATACATTTCTCTGCGTATTATTTACATAAAAGTTTCGATTCCCGATAAATGGCGACCCCAACTCAAGCGTAAAATAAACGATAATTTATTTATGCGATACCAGAGCACCTGGAGGTGGAGAAGAAAAGGTTCCAGGAACGGTGATTGTATTACCTCCACGCTACTCAATTATTCACAAAGTTCGATGGCAGGACAAAAATAAGCAAAGCTTTTGTGCCAAATTGCAATATCCAGCGTATCAAGCATAATCCCCAGGGTATCCAATCATAAATCACTTTCTTCGGCTCCACTTAAAAATATCAGCGAAATTGCTTTCTTGCGATGCGAATGCATAAAAGGGAAATAATTCCTAATAAAAATAACAATATAATTCATGGGACAATTTTATCATCTGAATTGTTTACCAGTTAAGAGCCACTTAAAATTATAATGGCAAATGCTTTTGCGTCCTCGATGGGGGAAAACAGATAGAATTAGAGCATAAATTATATAATTTAATTTAATTTTGAGAATAATGTTGGTTATAAAAAATAATTTTAAAAACAGATAGAACTAAAGCAAAATTAAATCCTTTTTTTAGTTTTAAGTACAAGTTGTATTTTTTCCACATATAAAATTTGGAATGTGCGATATGATCAGAATTTATGGTATATGTCAAATGGCATGAATACCTATAACATTCATCGTTCTTAATTTATAAGATTCCTTTTATAAAGGTTTCCAAAAAAATTCAGTAGGTTGAGGTTCGATTCCAACTACGAAAAACCATTTAGGATATAAAACATAACGGCAATTTATATAAAATTAATATTGAGAAACGTTTTTGTTTGTAAAATGTAATTGTTGATCCTAAAAAGGATAATAATTTCGTGTGATTTAAGCAATAGGTTGAGAATGAAGTAAACAATTTTAGAGAGGCAGCATTCAATTAACCTAAGTAAGATCCATTCTACAGACATAAAAACCCGTACCAAACCAAATAAGTTACCCAGTTAACCGTACTTAATACTTGACAGTTTACCCACCATTTCACTAGTCTCGTCTGTTTTCCTTTTACTTCCGGTTTAGCACTCTTTTTCTGCCCTCTTTTTTGGCCAACAATTGATTGTTGTTTGTTTTTATATTTATTTTATGGCCTGGCTATTTGACGGACGGACAAAGTCGGCTGGCGACAAAGTATCCGGCGTAGTTCTTGGCACGATTCGGCTGTTAAACAGAAGCCGGCGAAAACAGCGCCGGACGGAGCGATGACAGCCGTAAAAACGGCATTAACACGGCCGTTAAACCGGACAATTCGACGATCGGAGCGCCGGAAATCGCGTGGCCATCAATCAGGCGAAAACAGGCCGCAAGAAGGTGAAATGGAAAATGGTAAATTGAGCAGTTAAACTTTCGCAAAACGAGAAGAAGGTACGACGATGGGCAGCTGACGGTGGCCAAAAAGTGACTGAGGCAGCCGAAAGGACGAAAGCAAACTCTCGGAGCCGCAGACACGGACACAAATACAATCTCGACGACGACAGGATGACCTTCACCAACACAACGCACAGCAAAGGAGAAAGGTTTCCTCTATAAGTGTAGGTGTATGTATAGATGTGTATATACGGATGGCCAAAAAGTAAAGTTTTTCGCACAGCAACCCACACACATACACAGCTGTGACGCAGCGGAAGGGAAAGCTTTCGCAGGAGAAAAGGACCAAAGTACCAAAAGGCAAAAGCAGTGGGAGTGCTTTGATTTCGCTGGCCTTCCCTTCGTGTTTCAAGTGCAAATTCGACATTAACTGGCAAAAAGCTACCTGAAAAATACCCTTTTTTTTGAGACTATCAGTATTGAAGTTAAGATAAATGGAAGCATCATGAAGTATATTTACTTTTGAAATAATAAATAACTTAGTTTTTTATTTCTTCATTGGATCTTAAAAGATAAAACTTATCACTTTTTAAAGGGCAATACATAAATACATCAATGTTTTTAAAAATAAAAACTTTTTATTTTATTCAGATTAAAGAAATGCAACTAAAACGTTAGAATAAGTAAATAGCCATTACTAATGAAAATTTTTGTCCAATCAGGTTTTTTTTTCATTTTTCTGCTCACAGGAAATGCCAATTTGTTAAATATTCTGACCGCCAAAAAAATTAAATTATAAATTATTCGAATCAATTATGACATTAAAAATTTAGAGACTTTATCAGGGTTCCGAAATAAAAATATAGCGTAGTTTTCGGCACCTAATCAAGGTTTACTCCAAATATTTTATAGGGAATTAAGTACTTCCACATTCATCACTACATTTTCGTCCTTGTTTTTATTTTTGCCAGAACTAACGACATCGTAACTTGCAGTAACAAACCGAATCAGCAAAACACACCAACGCGAAATGAAATCAAAGCTTTTCCCATGCGCACACTCCCACACTTTGAATAATTTCCGCCAAAAAGCTTTTACGCATTCCGAATTCGCAAGTCACTTTTTCCGCTTTTCCTACTTACTTCACGTTCTCGCTCTCGCTCTTGCTCACGTTCACGTTCCAGTTCCCGTTCCCGTTCACGTTCCAGTTCCCGTTCACGCTCACGTTCATTTTCACGTTCGCGGGCGATCGTGGAGAGATGCAATTGCAGGCTGCGATCGCTGATGGCATCCTCCTCGGGAATTGTGGTGCAGGATGTGCGGACATGCCGCATCCGATGCACTGCATCCAGGCTCAGGCGATGCTCGTGATCGTCGCGCAGCAGGGCATCGAACATGGCCACACCGCCGTCGATGCTGCTTTCGCGCAGGATGCGTCCACCGCGTCCACTGCAGTGGGGACTCTGCTGCTGGTTCTGCTGGTGCTGCTGGTGATGGTGGGCGGTTGTGACCACCCCCTCCGAAAACGAACGGATGCGCATGGCGCCGTTGGCATCGGTGGTCAGAGCCACCGAGCGGAAGCGATCGATGACCGCATCCTGGATGCTGTTCACACTCAACTGGTTTCCCATGGCGCGCGGGGGTCGAAAAATAATACGAGGACGCAGGATGCTTCTGCACGGCGACAGGACGCTAATCCAACTGACACCGAGTCCGGCATTCAACAGGCAACCTGCCCCAGAGAGCCACAACACACCCATACTCTCTCCCACAAAATCAAAGTCCAAAGTCCTTTCTCCAGAGAGAAAGGGGTGGAGAAGGGGGTGGGGGTGGCTCCACCACTGGGAGGAGGAGCCTCCACAGGTGCGCTGTTCTATTTACATTGCAGCGTTGCAAGCTTTCGCTGCAACCTGCCTTCCAAAATAAACTTTAAAGCTTCCCCAGCAACAGAGAGAATGCAGTCCTCCCAACGAGTGGACGGCATTTCAAGCATTGGTGTTTCAAAAACAGCCTCAGGACGAGTTTTACTTAACTGTCCACTCAAAAATAGACCACAGGTTGTATTGATTTTCGTTTAAGCGGCAGCCAAATGGCCAAGCAAATGCCGCTTGTTGCTCTCGAGGGGTTGAAAACCTCGAAAGCGAACTCAATCACACATGATAAGTTAAACACCTTCTACCAGCACTTCTTATCTAGTCATAAAATATGTGAGGTTTAGAATAAATTACAAAATTCGACAATATTCTTGCTTTATCTTGAGAATTATTCGAACGTTTATATGATTATTATTAAATATTACGAAATATTATATATTATCCATTATTTTTTGTTATTAATCTAATTCTAGCGTTACAAAACGAGACTCATTAGTAATGAGTCATTACAAGTTACTATCCATTTTAACAGTTACCAAACCCTAGGTAATATTTATTTAATTACAATTGGTAAAAAGTATAGGATCATAGAGATCGGAAAAATAATTTAGTATTTCAAAGTAGTTTCAATACAGACAGGCAATCACAGTAGCTAAAGATCCTTAATTCAAATCCAAATTCCAGATTGTCGTGCTGATGCCCACATACAATCAGTTTGTATAAGACTTTCGTACGGTACACAAGTATTTGCTTATAAAAAAAGACCTGATCAAATTCTGTACAACCAGTTTCATACATAATTTTCTACATTCTTTTAAGAAATTGTTCTGTGCAAAATTCAAGTTTAGTTTAAAATACAAAGATTGCAAACAAAATGAGCAATTTGGAACCCCAGAAAAGTAAACCGGGTAGTAAAGGGGCGATGACACGGGAAACTTCGGGCGAAACTATAGGGGATGCTAAATCACTCAAGTCGGACGATTCCAACAAAACTGCCTTCGAGGCCTTATACGAACAATATATGGCTACACAGGGTACCGCTGCTAAATCGAAGTTTGAAAAGTTACTCCAGGAACTCGAGGAAAGCCAAAAAACCTCTGAAGAAACGATCAAAGATGACGATTCGCTCCAGTCGGACGATTCTATCAACTATCCGGGATACGAAGATATACTTGCTGCAGAAGGTACAGCGACAAATTCGGCCTACATCAACTTCCTGAGGGACTATAAGAAGCGATATGGTGCTTTTTATACGGACAAGCAGTTAGCGAAGGCAGCTATGGAGCGATGGGCCGAGATGTCCTTTCGCCATCGATGCCAGTACAGTGTGGTAAGTTAAAATAACTAAACGTATAAACGTAATTTACAACATTGCTTGGGACTCAAGAATTCGCGGGCTAAGACTGTTGCTAAATGCTCTCTCCCACAGGAGCCAGCTAAGCTTTTAAAACTAAAATACACCAATGAGGCCTCGAGCAGTGAGAGCAGCTTGGCTAGCCCTATGGATAGTGAAACGGGATTTACTGGCCCCACGGACTATTTCTTTGGTGGCGGCAACCCCGTCGGCGGAAGAGATAATGTTTGTGACAAAAGGAGGGAATCCAAGTGTGGCAAACCGATGAAAAGTTGCTCCAAGCCGAGGGCCAGGTGCTCGAAGCCCAGGAGGAGTTGCGCCAAACCCAAGGCCAAGTGCGCCCGAGCCAAACCAGCTTGTCCCAGGCCCAGGAAGAGGATGGAGTGCTCCAAGCCCAGGGCCAGGTGCGCCAAGCCCAGGGCGAGGCCAAAGAAAACCTGTCCCATGTAATCGTTGGTCCCCAAGTCACGCCCTCGTCCCCTAAACATTTTGGCCATTTAAAAGTCCAGAGATCAGACAAAAAATATTTTAAGAATGCTTGTTGGTATTGATGGAATCAAAGAAGTTGGAAAACCTCCAGGAAACCAGGACATAGACGGGGTAACCTGGTTTTAATGCCCAGGAAGGCCCAACTAAAAGATTCTTTGAAACATGTACATCAAGCTGAATGTATTCTCGGCAAATAAAGGTGTATGTCTGATCAGAAATGTATTGTGTTGTTTATAGCAGGGACCGTAAATAACAGTTATTTGTGATTTTTATTTTAAAAAGACTACTGTTATTTTTTTTTTTTAAAACGTCAAAACTAACGTTCTTTTTACTCTTGTCCACAAAGTATATGCATTTCAACAAATCTAGAAAGCAAATTAACTGTTATTTGTTCATGTCTATAAAGTGCATAAAAACCAGTTAAATTGTTGATTAAAACTTGTACAAATCTTAGTAGGCCCTTTAAAATAAAAATCACAAATAACTGTTATTTACGGTCCCTGGTTTATAGGAGGGTTAAATAACTCCAAAATACATTTGGGGGGATACATAATGATTTTGGGGATATGTAGTAAATGGACCGATTTCAATAATAAACACAATAAAATAGGCGTGGCAGTGTGATAAATCTATTATAGTTTCCGTGATCTCTATCTTTATACGGACGGACAGATCGTCTAGAGATCCTAATCAAGAATATTTATATTTTCTTGGGTCGAAAACGCTTTCATTTTTCTGTTACAGATTTTTCTACGAATATATTATACCCTTTTAGTCAACGCGTAGTGGAGATTTGTTATTTAATTTCAAAGTATGTTTACTTTTGGTACCTAAAATACAAATTGAATCGTACAAGTTAATCATGTCTTAGTAAGTCTGAGTACTATCTTTTAATTCTGCAAAAGTTTATAACTAATAGGTTTCTTAATTAAGAACTCACCCTCTCGAGCTTCTGGAAGTACTGACGCAGGAACTGCACGGGATTCTCGGGTCTGCAGACGCACAGCTGGACGATGCAGTCCTTGAGGACCCGCTGGATCCCGTGGGTCTGGATGTAGTGCTCGCACTCCCGCAGGCTCTGCTCCTCCAGCGTTTTGGCCATCATGTAGGACATGTGTGTGGGTGTAGTTGATGTATTTACGAGATGTGGATGTGATGAAGAAAACTGCTCTGCACTACGCAAATCGTCTGTATGTATGTGTGCAGAGAAGCTAGGCGGAGTGCGTGTGTGGGTGTTGGTTGGTTAATGTTTCGCTGGCAAATCGGTGGAAACCAGAGATTAGTTATATCTCTATATGCCCGCGTTTCGACTACACCTGCTGCTTTATCGCCCCGTTCGCTTTGCACCGCTTTCGCAGCTTTTCTTTGCGTTTTTGGCACCGTTTTCCGTTCCGTTTTCGACACACACACAGTTTTCACTCTTTTTCACGCTTCTGGACCTTTTTGGCCTGTCCTGCTGATTAAAGCCCTTTGCCCCGCACTCCCCCGCAGCATGTGGATTGCTCGATGGCCCTCTGAAAGTCACTTAACCAGGTTTTCTTTATAAAAACTTAACTAATTTTCACGCACGTAGTTGTTGTTGTTAGTGGTGGTACTATCGGTTGCACAGTGCCAATGTGCCCATAGCGTATGAGCAATTTTTGGACTCCAATGCTATACGATACCTTTCAAAAGTTGCGCGGACTGGAAATCATTATAAACAACATCATAAACATTAACATTACAATTAAACATTCAAAGAAATAATTTAGATTTAGAAATCATATTTGTCAATATTTATGCAAGATTTCTTTGCAAGATGATTCTGAAATAAAAAAATATACGATATTTCGTTATGGCGTTAGCCAACACTGTTATCGATAACACCAGCACCGCTGCGAATGGCAATTGTGCACAAATTTAAATTTGCGGAAAGCTTTTTTGAAGGGTGTTTTCGTACTGGAATTAATTAATGTTTCGCCTAATCCAATAAAGACCGAAAAGCAGTAGCTATGTGGATGTTACAAGCATTACTGGGCCAATCAACGGAGGTGGGTTTACCAGGGGATTTCCCACTATTTTCGTACTATTTTCCGTTACCTTTTTTACCGACTGGAAAGTATTGATTTTTCCTCCTGGTTTCTTTGCAGCTAAAATGCTGCACACCGAATCCCTGCCCACCGCTGGCCACCAGGGCATCTATGCGCCACTAAGTCAGGCGATGAGCGATTCCGAGTCCGACGAGGAGATCGAGATCCACAACGCCGCCAATCTTCGCCAGAAATTGCAGCAGAAACTGCAGACCCATCAGAATCCGCAGCAGAATCCTCAGCAGGAGCAGTCCCAACGGATACGCATTCCACCGAACACGCTGGCCCTGAAATCGCCACACACCCGAGCAGCACCCACCGCCACCAGGATTGTGACGCGTCACCCGGCCGCCAATCCTGGCCAGAAATTCCAACTGGAGGGCAGCACCTACGCCACCAACATGCAGAACACCTTCCGCTCCGTCATGTTGAGCAGCGACAATGGGGCAGTGGGCTCCGAGTTGTCCCAGTTCAACAGTGAATTCGACTCGAATGCGGATAATGTGGCCATTTTGGGTGGTAATCCAACTGGCGAGGATTTGCCGGGCAAAAGGACACCCATGTCGGTGGCCAGAAAAGGCTGCTTCATCGCCAGCCTGCTGCTCTGCTTCCTTGCCGTCGTCTCCTTTGTGTGGCTAGTGCCCTGCGGCAATCCCGATGGCACCGGATCCTGTCCAGCCGTCGGAGATCGGGTGAGGACCCACAACTGGTTCAATAACTACACCAAGGCGGAGCTCAAGGGCGGCGTCAATGTGGTGGGCGGTCTGCGGTCGTGGGAGAACAACCTGATCTTCATGTACCGCGGCGATGCCTTCTTTCCGGAATCCCGGCCAGGCAACGAGCGGCGCAACGGGATCATCTGCCTGATTGGCTCCTCGGGAGCGGTGGCCTGGTTTGTGGAGATGGTGGACGAACCGGTGGCCCTGGACTGCAGCCTCATCGACGTGGATGGCAATGGGAAGTCGGATTGCCTGGTCCTCGACGAACATGGCGAACTGGGGGCCATTAATCCGGTTTCCGGCGAGTGGCTGTGGTGGTTCAAGGAGCGTTCCGCCCGCAAGGTGGATGCCTATGACTTTCCCGTGATTCTACCCGATCTAGATGCCGATGGCGTGCTGGATCTGCTGCTGGTGACCAGTTTATCCCTGGAACAGCGCACCAAATCGCTGGCCCAGCTGAAGCACGAGTCCATGGCGCAACTGGAAGCCCGCAATGTGCTGCGCCTGCTGTCGGGCAGGCGGGGAGCTCCCATTGGCGATGGCTTCCGCATCCACGATTGCGACAGGCTCTGTAACCTAAAACTCGAGGCGGGCAACGTGAGCTTCACCTGCCAGCGGATAAACGGCACGGAGCAGCAGAGGTCCAAGAGTCTGGCGGAGATTTATGCCCTGATTACCAACAAATCCATTGTTGGCCAGCGGCTGGCCAGCTCGAAGATAGCGCAACACAGGAATCACGGCCAGCGACGCGAATTGGATGCCCAGAGGAACATCTACTCCTTGAGCGGTCGCGAACTGGTGGTGGAGAACCGTGGACGCTGTCCGGAGGATTGCAATGTCACCTTTGTCCTAACCGAAGTCCGCGAAGGCAGGCCGCATGTGGTGCAGAATTACAGCCAGAGTGGAATGTATGGAATGGCGCCCACCCAGTGGCACTTCAAGGACACCAAGATGTCCGGCTTTGTGATGAAGTTCTGGAAGTGGCATGGCCTGGTTAAGCCATCTAAACAGTCCTCTTCCTCCTCCGCCAGCAGCAATAATAATGTGCAGAAAAGTGCCAGCAACAATCACACGAAGAACATGAATGCCATCAAGGATAAGGAGAAGGCTCAGAAGAAACAGCAACATCAAAGGCTGCGGAGGAGCACGAAGGCAGCGGAGGATCACCAGGAGTTCGATGTCTTCAGGCACGTTAAGCAAAAGAGGGAATCCTTTGGGTTGCCCTTCAAAAACCAGACCAAATCCGGGGGAATCTCCACCGGCAGCTACAAAATGAACATGATCACGGAGAGCGTGCTGCTAGTAAAATTCGTGGGCGCAGATACCCGCATCGAGAACACCTCGCAGAGCAACATCATCCAGTTCTGCCGGCACGAACGCAAGGAGATGGTCTGCCAGCCGGATCTGAACAACCAGGATCACTCGATGCTCATCGCCGATCTGGACCAGGATGGTTCCCAGGAGCTGGTCACCTACATGTCCACCTTCGTGCATCCCGAGGATCAGCCGCTCGGCGAGTGGAAGCTGCTGACCTACGTGCGACTGTTGCGCCTCCAGGCGGAGCTGGAAACGGTGGAGCCTCGCAAATAGGCAGGATAAATCTGAAGAGGATTATAGTGCATTTAGCCAGCCGGAAGTGAGCTGTCAGACCCGAGTAGCAGTTTAATCTAGTTGCATGCATTACATTGTACATTATTAGAAACCTTTTCTAGACTCCCATAATAAATCAGTAAACAAATGGAATTCTTAGTTTATCTTTTATTTATATTCAACAGTTACTTTCATATTACACACATTATATTGCATGGGGAATTGTATAGTTCATGAATTGGTAAAAATTAAATGATCGAGTAATTTAATATGATATGAAACCAAAAATCAAGTATTTAAGAGCCCAAGGAAATGCTTTAAAGGGTGATGTTTTTGGGGATTTATTCAGTATTCGTAAACTTTCATCAACAGTCGTAAACTTTTCTTTGTTTGAGAACACTAATTCCCGATCAAAGCACGTTTATTGAAACGTCCTTAATTTTGAACTATAACATAAAAGGATCTAACTTTCCCTTCGTTTTAAATTTTTCATAAAATTTACACTGCGTTTAAACTTTACATGGGGATACAGAATATTACACATGTGTTTTGTCGGTAGGTGTAAAAAAATTCTTAGGGCGATAGTCTAATAGTCCAGAATAAAACTCCTACAGGGACTGAACTAAATGTATGATTTTAATTGTTAAATGTTTTATATGTATCTGAATTGATCTACCATTGCATATATGGTATACAATAACTCTTAGTCTATGCTCTAGAAATCAACGTCGCTAAGGTAGCTTTTGAAATTAGCCACGCAACTGGCCGTCAGCCACTGCTCCGAAATAGCCTTCAGTTCCTCATCCAGACGCGGAAAACTAGCGGCATTGGTGGCCGAGTGATTGAGTCTTTTCAGCGTGCGATACATCTGCGGGATATATGATATTAGTATTATAATATTAAGTATGGTTATGGTTAAGCTTACCTCCGCGGAGCTTGTGGATATTTGTTTGGCAATGGCCAGAGCCTCCTGGTTGACGTTGCGGGGCTTGCAGATCTTGTCAACGAAACTGTGCGGTCCCAAAAGTTCCGGTGCAAACAGTCTTTCACCCAACAGAAACAAGCGCGAGTGCTGAGGGAAAAAAGTAGCTTTAGAAAACTAAACTTCAAAGAAATTTCTAGATACTTACCACTTGACTGGACACCTTTTCGTGGCCATGCCACAGAGCATAGCCCTCGGGCAGCTGGCCCAACTTGGCATAGTTTGTCTCAAAGCAGCAATCATCAGCGGCCACCACGTAGTCAGCGAAGGGCAGCTGCATAACGCCCAGATTAATCAGGCTGCCAACGATGCCCGCCACCAAGGGCTTGGGAAATGTGGCCAAAGTGCGCAGATAGGTTCTAAAAAGTACATGTTTGCATTAATAACAGTTTGATCTGTACATAAACGGGTTCGAAAAATAACACACTCTGTAAAAAACTTGTGTTATTAACATGTTAAATGTCAAAGTGTTAAAAAATAGTAGCTTACATATGTTAGAAATTTAAATAACACACGCAGTTTATTTGTGTTATTTACACGACGTTTGTTTTACACAACTTGTTTTTAACGCAATGAGTTTTTGACATTAAAACGTCAAAAATATATGTTGAACTGAAAAATTCAGGGTTTTCTGTAGTTGCAAAAAAATTTATATGCTTTGAAACGGTTAAAAATAACAATTAAGATATCCTGGTCCAATATTAATTCTTCATTTTCCCTTCGATTCGCTAATGTCCTTAAAATGTAATTTTCATTTGTGTTGAAAACACAGTGTGTAAAAAACACGTCGTGTTAATAGAACATTGTGTAAAAAACACAAGTGAGCTGTGTGTGCTAACAATTATTTTTCACATTTTAACACTTTTGTTTTTGACACACATGTCAAAAACTTTGCTCACACTGTAAAATACAATTTTAGATGTTTTTAACATGTGTGTTAAATTCCAAACCCTATATAATATAGTTATTTCTACTCACTTCAGGGCTGTGGACAGTCGACTGGCGCTTTCCCGGCGCTTCTCCAGAGAACCCTGCACCAGTTCCTGGCAATCGATGCCCTGGCAAAATTGTGGGCCCTCCGTGGTCAACAGCACCGTGTTGAACTCACTTTTGCGTGCAATGTTGGCCAGCGTTTCGTTCAACTGCTCCAACACATGGCTGCTGTACGTGTGTCCGGCTTTACCGCGATGCGTGTGGATCACCAGATGAGCCACCTTGTTGACCTTGTGCAGGACCACCAGCTCGCCACCACCACTACTGTTCGCCTTCATATCGTTGGCCAGCGTTTGCGAGGAGGAGGACGAGGCGGCACCCTCGCCGCCCCTTTGGTTCGTCTTGTTGACGGGCTTCAGGAACTTGAAGGAAGGATCACTCGCCTCGGCTGCATCATCCGAGAGATTGGCCGCTCCGGGTTTATTGTCCAGCGAATTGCGGCTAACCGAGGCGTTGCTCGAATAGGAGCTGTTGGAGCGCCGACGCATGATCATGGACTCCTCGCTGGCGCGCTGCTTGTACACATAGTCCCAGGAGTCGGAGGCGCGTGGCTTGCTGGCGGATGAATTGGCGGTGGTCTTGGTGAAAACGGTATCAGCGGCAGTGGCCTTTTTGGGCGGCGTGGGTTCCACTGCAGCCCGAGGTTGCTGGTTCTATTGTATAGATAATAACACATATTAGATGGTAATTCTAGTTAGTTTCTAGTAGCAGTACTCACCCGGCCGGTTATGGTCATGGCTCGTTTGCGCATTAGCGGCTTGTTGGACACCTCACCGCCGCTCATCTCGCGCTGCTCGTGCTCCACGGCGTGAATCATGTTGGCCGCTCCCTCGTCGCCCATCAGGCGATCGATCTCCGAGACCTTTTTCTTTTTCTGTATTCCCCCATTGGCCAGAACGGCGTTTGGCGTCTGCGCGCGACGCTTGACGGGGGACGAACCCCGCTCGGTGGCTCCTCCAACTGGCGTTCCAGCTTTGGAGTTCCTTGCAGTTGGTGTGGCTGCCCGTTTCTTGGGTGCCACCTCCTTCTTAACCGTCGTTGTGTTGGGCGAAATGCTTTTGACAGTCGTTTTTGGTGCTGGTGGCGGTGCTGGAGAAGGTGCCTTCGTCGCTGCCGTTGCCTTCGTGCTGCTGGCGTACTGCGCAAAGGACTTTTTCGTCTCGGGAACATCGGGATCCCAGATAATCTTCCTCTTAATTACACGCATGCGTTTGAAGCCTGGAAAAGAAGTTTTTTAAAATGGGTTTTCTTATATATTAGTTAATATTTTCATACCTGTAGTGGGCTCCTCGCTCTCCTTGGGCGGCGATGGCTTGGGCTTCTCCACTTGTGGATTTGTGGAGGCCGCCAGTTGCTTTTGGCTGACGGTCTTTAGCATTACCTTCACCCCGGTGATCTTGTTGTTGAGCAACATGGGCGACTTCACAGCGGGTTTAACCGGCGAGGTCGCCTTTTTCAGGGGCAAGGGAAGGGGTGGCTTTTTGGTGACCAGTTGAGCTGGCGGCAGGGTAATCACTTCCGTGACCACTGCAGTCGTGGGTGCGGGCTTGTCCTCCTCCGAGTCGTAGTCATCCCAATCGTCGTTTAATGAGCTGACAATGTCCACTGGCTTGACCACCGGCGGCGGCTCCTTGCGACGCGGCTTCGGCTTGAGCCCGGCCATCTGCTCCAGGGCCACGGCTCTGGCCTGTTCCGGTGAAAGTTTGTGTTTGGGGATAGAAGAACGCCGAGGTTCCTCCTCGGAGGGTGCAGATGGCTTGGATGCAGGCACCTTGGGACTGACTTTTCGCGTGGAAGCCTCCCCCTCGTCGTCGTCGATTTCCATGATCTCGAACTGCCCTTCGCCCTCGATGGTGACACCCACATCCGCTTCCCCCTCCACGCCGTCCAACTCCGAGAGAGCCTTCTCCAGGGCGCATTTCTCGGCGGGCTGCTCGTGACTAGTGTCTGTTCCCTTGAGCAGGGCTATCAGATCCACCTCTTCCAGGGGGGATTCGCTGACCTGGCCGTTGCCCGAGGGATCGTGGCCATCTTCGAGGAGTGGCGACTCGCCGCTCGCGTCCTCACCGCCCAGGCGTGCCTCCAGTCCGAGATTATCACTCGGGTGGCCGCCACTTGGAGTGGCGGAATCTGCTGCGGAATCTGCAGCCTCCGGGGGTCGAATGTGATGCAGCTTGGCTATCTCCTGCTCCAGCGAGCTCAGTTCGTCCAGGCCGGCCTCTAGCTCGTCGCCACCATTGAGATTTGCCAGCTCATCCTCCAAATCAGTGGGACCCGCACTTTTTGGTGGCGTTTCCAACGCCGCTGTTTTGGGTTCCGTGCCCTCAGATTGCTCAACTTTTCGGGGAGATTCCTCCGGTTGGACCGTCTCCGGCGTTTGAACCTTGGTCTCCGTCACCTGCTCCATGATTCCGCTGCCCACTGATGGCTTTCCGTTCAACAGCAGCTCCAATTCGGGGCTTTACGTGCGCGTTTCGATCGGATTAGTCTAATACAAAAAAAAGTGCACTTGCTGCAAAGCGGCCATTTTTTAGTGGTGCGCAGGTTGGGAGGAGTCTATCGATAGTTGGGAAACTATCGGTACGGGAGAACTAGCAACTGGGAAAATTTTAAATATATTCAAAAAATAATTTAAGTGGGTAAAATCAAATATTTTTGAGATTTAATAATTATTTTATTTTTAATTTTTGTTGGTAAAAAAAACGACAACTCACCATACAATACAAATATAATTTTTATTGCGGGACTAGACAAAATATTTATTTAATATTTATTTAAATATTTATAAAAACAGAGGAAAGCAGAAATTTCTGGGAAAAGTGTTATTTTCCAACATCGCTTAGAGGTGGAAAAAACATCGATGATTGCGGACAGTAGTAATCGATGCTACCGATGACTCCGATGTTGGCATCGATGTATCTCCACCTCTACCCCCCTTTCGAATACTTGATGGAAAAAAGTCTCATCCGCAGCAAGGATTCGCGCAAGGATAGCGCCAGGAAAGGCAACCGTTAATTGATCCAACCCCTCGGCGGCGGTCAGTGCGAGTGCACAGAGTATTCGCAACAACCGCAGGCACCCCAGGCGCATCCCGGCGAGCGGCAAACTCCGGACGGAGCTGGGGCAACAGCAGCGACAGCGAAACGAGCGTCGAATACACAACTTCGCAGGCAGGGGGCAGCAGGCAGCGGGCAGCAGGATGTGGGACTCGTCCATGTTTCTCAGCACACTGACGCCCAAGTTCTACGTGGCGCTCACAGGGACCTCCAGCCTGATCTCGGGCCTGATCCTGATCTTCGAGTGGTGGTATTTCCGCAAGTACGGCACTTCTTTTATAGGTGAGTGGGGTTGTCCTTCCACTGGCTAGCTTTTAATTTCCCTTGGCAATCCACAGAGCAAGTGTCCATCAATCACATCAGTCCCTGGATAAACGGCAGCGATGGCCAGTCGGAGTCGAGCAATGGCAGCGGCAGCAGCAGCAGCAGCGGTTCCAGCAGCAGCAGCAATGGCGGCGGAGGATCCGGCGGTGGATCGGGCGGAGCTGGTGCCTCCGCCGGCGGTAGTGCCACCACCAGTACGGGCACCCAAATGCCCGAATGCAAGGTCTGGCGGAATCCCCTGAATCTCTTTCGCGGCGCCGAGTACCAGCGATTCTTTTGGGCCACCAGCAAGGAGCCGTTGACCTACTACGACATGAACTTGAGTGCCCAAGACCATCAGACCTTCTTCACCTGCGAGGGCGATGCCCGCAAGGAGGAGTACGAGATCATGCAGACGGCCTGGCGCGAACGCAATCCGATGCAGCGCATCAAGTCGGCGCACAGTGCGCTGGAAATCAATGCCGAATGTGCGCCGGCCTACATTTTGCTGGCCGAGGAGGAGGCCATGACCATTATGGAGGCGGAGAAGATACTAAAGACAGCGCTCAAAGTGGCCGAGATCAACTATCGCAAGTCGCAGGCCACCCAGCACCAGGGCGCCATTGCGGACGGGATGCATCGGCGGGACACCAATGTGCTGATCTACATCAAGCGGCGGCTGGCCATGTGCGCCCGCAAGCTGGGCAAGCTGAAGGAGGCGGCCAAGATGTTTCGCGACTTGACCAAGGAGATACCCTCGATCATGAGTGTGCTGAATATACACGAGAATCTGATCGAAACGCTGCTGGAGATGCAGGCCTATGCCGATTGCCATGCCATTCTGGCCAAGTACGACGACATCTCGCTGCCGAAATCGGCGACCATCTGCTATACGGCTGCTCTGCTAAAGGCGCGGGCCGTGGCCGACAAGTTCTCGCCGGACATTGCCTCCAAGCGCGGGCTGAGTCCCGCCGAGATGAGCGCCGTGGAGGCGATTCACCGGGCGGTGGAGTTCAATCCGCATGTGCCCAAGTATCTGCTGGAAACGAAGCGTCTCATCCTGCCGCCTGAGCACATCTTGAAGCGCGGCGACTCGGAGGCTCTGGCCTATGCGTTCTTCCATCTGAAGCACTGGAAACAGGTGGAGGGGGCCCTCAATCTGCTGCACTGCACCTGGGAGGGCACCTTCCGCATGCTGCCGTATCCGCTGGAGCGCGGCCATCTCTTCTATCCATATCCCACGTGCACCGAGTGCGCGGATCGCGAACTCCTGCCGGCGTTCCACGAGGTCTCCGTTTATCCCAAGAAGGAGCTGCCCTTCTTCATCTTGTTTACGGCTGGCCTGTGTTCCATAACCGCCCTGCTGGCCCTGGCCACCCACCAGTATCCGGAGCCGATGGGCCATCTGGCACAGACCGTACTTACCTGGATCTCGTATCCATTTCAGTTGCTCAAGGAGCGCATCGAGGCGTTCTGGCCGTGCAATCTGCTGCAGCAGTTGTCGCGCGTCTAAAGAAGAACTGGAGGTCACTAAGTCCTCCACTTTCCACCCTCGAATGACGTCACACACAAACACACTCACACAAAACAAGGAACACCACACATACTCACATGCATCCATACATCCATCTGGCTAAGAAACCACAAAAACCACTCAAACACACAAAACCCTAAATACATAACATGAATATATATATATATATAAAAACTTATATATATTTTGGATCTTAATATGTCTGTGTTGTCTTCGTGAAATAAACATAAACAAAGCAAAAGCAAAAGCAAACAAACACGCACTCAACTAGTTCCAGCTTCCAAGTGATCCGGATGAACGAAACGAATTTTCAGCAGCCACGCAAGAGGAAACTAAATTATTCTTAAGTTTTATTATTATTTTAATTATTGTAAACGAGAGTACGAGAAGCCAGTAAACTAAAATGCAGAAATTACCCTTCATTTCTATTTATTTTATTTTAACTAAAATATTTTGAATATATTTGTGGGTTTATGACGAAGAAAAGGCTTAACTTTAACCCTTTAAAAGGAAAATTTACTGGGTAAGCTTTCCTTAATTTTCAGCAGCCACGCAAGAGGAAACTAAATTATTCTTAAGTTTTATTATTATTTTAATTATTGTAAACGAGAGTGCGAGAAGCCAGTAAACTAAAATGCAGAAATTACCCTTCATTTCTATTTATTTTATTTTAACTAAAATATTTGTAATATCTTTTTGGGTTTGAAACGGAGAAAAGCCTCAACTTTAACCCTTTAAAAGCCATCCCATTTAAAGGAAAACTTACTGGGTAAGTGATAAACTATCGGAAAGCAATGATTTCCTCAATATAAAAAAACAAAATCCGTTTGGCAAAAACGAACAAATTTATTTTAAGTTTATACATATTGTAAAATAGGGTCTTCTAAATACATAAAGTTCAGGTTTTAAGCTACTGCTCGGGATCAATAAGAAATGCTTTCAGGAAAGCAATTCCCTTGGGCAGAAACTGAATGTTTTAATTTATACATATTGTAAAATAGGTTCTTCTTAATATATAAAGTTTATGTTTTAAGGTACTGCTCGGGATCGGTAAGAAATGCTTCCAGGAAAGCAATTCCCTTCGGCAGATACTGAATGTTTTCATTGAAGAGATGCAGTTCGGGGCGCCGGATGTCCATAAAGGAGACGTCCTCCGTATTGGCAATATCAATTACAAAAGTGGTCTTCTCCAGACGCACAAGTGGTTCCTCTTCTATGCATTTTCGAACGACCTTCTGTACAATAGTTCGATTCGCTTGCCTGAAAAATAAAAGATTCAACATTTATATGATTGATTTCCAATAAGTAAGAAACACAAATTTATAGACTTACCTTAGTAGCCTCGCCCTCTTCGCCGCTAAAACAGTCAGAAGTTTGTGGAACGACTGATTGATCTCCACAACTCGCTGATCAATGTGCTTGAGGAACTTCAGGAAAGACGCATCATCGCTGCCTTCAAGGGCGTCAGTTAGATTCGAGGGCAGCCTGAGACTCAATTGATAGTTTAGAAAGTGCTCCCGCGCTGTCCAGTGTTCCTTTCGCGTGGTCACCTCGTTGTCCAGCTCAATGGAGACCACGCTAATGGCTGACTCTTCCACGTCCTCGGTTTTGTAGTTGACCACAATTCGAAACATGGTCAGCAGGCGGTGGCTGAATATCAATTGCTGGGAGATCTTGCGTTGAAAGTCGAATATCCAGTTTGGCTGTTGGTCGACCAGCAACCGCTTGAGGCGCGCAAAGAAGGATTCCGTGGGCTTATCCATGGGCTTCTGTTGAACTTGAAGTCGTCTATTTAAAAGGAAATTTAGATTTTAGAAATTTAGAAATTATCATAGTAGGCCATGTAATTTCTGATTTGTTTAACTCAATTCTATGTGAAATAAATTGAATGTTTTTCTAATTCATTTCCAATTGAATTTGTTATCATTTAAGAACAAAAAGTGGAAAATGTTTAACAAATCAATGTTAACTGCTTAGAAAATAAAATTCATGCAGATTTAATCACAAAAATATGGCCCTTTAAACTTCAAAAGAAATTGTTGTTTGAATTATTCATGCCATTCATTCATTCAATTCTATTAAACTCAAAATTCAAATTCATTCAATTCTATTGAACTCAAAATTCGAATTAATGCATTCATATAAAACAAAAAATTCAAAATAATTCATTGAATCCATTCATTTCTTACATCTTGCACAGCTCTAGAAGCGCCGATTTGTTCCACGTGGTCAGCTCCTCCTCCACTCCTGTCTGGTCCATTGAATCGTCGGTCTCCTGGCACCTCGACATCCGCGACTGCTCCTCCAGCTCCCAGTACAGGTTGACCTCCTTCAGAGTGGGTTTCTTCCTGATGACACGCAACCTCTGTTGTTGCCTTGTAAAATCCCAGCGTTTCTTAAGCGGCAGGAAAAAGGAATCGTTGCTAAGCGTCGTTTCGCTCATGGTTTGATTGCAATTTCCACACTTCTTGCAGGAGCCGCTGGTGCCGGCAATGACCGCTGGTTTCAGCTGATCCTCGCAGAGTTCGGGTTTTGGTTGGTGCTTCTCTTCGACCTCCTCCTCGTCGTCGTCGTTGTCCGTTTCCTCGGCCAGCGTGGAAACCAGACTAAGTCGCTCCTTATCTATTTCTATTTCCCTCTCCTCGCCATCCAAATCTTCTGTGGCTGCAAAGATTGTCGTGTTCATGGTCAGGTTAATGAATTTCGAGTTCGCAGCGGCATAGCTCTTGAAGGTTCTATCGCTGGAGCTGCCGCTCTCCCTTTCGCTGGACCTGCGCTGCTCCTCGAAGTAAGTCGTCACATCCGAGATGGTTATGGGTTTCTCCTCCGCATCTACACACTCTAATTTTAATGGTTGTGGCAACTCCAGCATGTCGAGAGAGCTCTTCTTGTTCAACTCTGCCATCGCTGGATGATAATCCCTAACTGGCTGCACCGACGCGTCCATCGGATCCACCGTAAAGGTCCTGCGGGATTTATTCGTGTTGGTCGTAGCCCAAGCACCTTCCTGCTCCTCATCATCTATGGTAATATCCATGTTGCTGTCCGCAAACAGATGCATGGTATGTCGCTTTTTCGACTCTGGCAGATTGGGTGTGAGATGTGAGGGCAAGCGTTTCAGCATGACGTGACGTATTGGAGTTCCCAGCACGGATTCTGATTCCTTTCTTCCTGAAATCCCTTGGATCTTTTCGTGTACCGGTGTCTTGCACATCTTCTCCTGATCCTCGAACTCAGTCAAGGACATTCCGGGCGTGTAAGTGGACAATTGTTTGATTCTTGATAATATTCTGGTATTCGGCACTGGAGTGATTGCATCGAAGTCTGTGCTTTTTAAAGGACTTTCGAAGTCCATTGACTCGGACATTAGCATGGTTTGGTGAGTCTTAGCACTGCCACGAATCTCTTTCTCTTCTTTTGGCAAGGAACGACCGAATATAGAGCCCTTGAGTGCGTTCAACATTCCCTTAAATTTTCCAGAATTTTGCTCCTTAGCTGCATTATAATTTAGTCCGGGACTTTCCTCGTCCTCTTCCATGGCTTCTGATAGGAGCAAAGTATGTCTTTTGGAAAACGGAGCTGCAGAAACCGCATTGTGCTTCATTGAAATCATGGTATTTTTAGAATTTTCAGCTGGTAATGCGGCTACATCTTCTTCAATAGACTCGGTCGAACCTTTGATTCCTCCATGGTTATAACTTTGAAGATCATCCTCCTCAATGGGTTCCGGAATAAGCAAAGTTTGTCTGGATTTCGATGTCGCATATCCACTAGAGTGTGTTGCACTCTTATTTTCCATATTGTTCTTGCTTTTAGGATGGACACTGATATCTTCTTCGATGGGTTCCGCCTTAAGAAGCGTTTGTCTGTGCTTGGACATCTGCGGTCGACTTTCCTCCATTCCGTTTTTGAAGTCTTCCTGAATGGATTCATGTGTGATAAGAGTGATTCGTGGCTTCCGTTGATGGTGACCCCCGTGATGATTTGCTGGTTTAAGGGCGTCGGAATCCTCCTCTATGGGCTCCGCCAAAACAAGTGTGTTTCTTGATTTTGAAGATCGATGTGTAGATACTTGGTCGGATTTAGAAAAGATCGATTTTTTCGTTGGCTCTTTCCAGACCTCCGAATCCTCTTCTATTGGTTCAGCCTTATTAAGCGTTTGACGCATCGTTTGCCTCATAGATTCGCCTGGCTTATTATAAATTTCCTCATCTTCCTCTATGGGTTCGGCCACAAGGAGAGTTTGACGAGGTTTGGTTGGCTGGCCAGTGGTTTCAGATGCAACTTCCCTAATGGATTCTTCCATAAACACTGTGCGATTTGACATACAATGAGATGGATTTTTTTTGTAGGCCATTGACTCATCTTTATTACCGGGTTCTGCCATTAGTTGGTTTTGGTGAGATTTGGATGATCGACTGTGGTTTTTAGTTGTCGTGCCTTCAATAGGTTCTTCCTTAATATCAGTATGTCTTGACTTATAATGAGACTGATTATTTTTGTGACCCTCTTCTATAGTTTCCGACATCCGAATATTCAGTCTCGACTTTATGGACTTATCATTAAGCTCTTCCCTGGTTTGATCCGCCGGTTTCTGCTGCCACACATCTTCGTCTATTGTTTCTGACTTTAGAAGAGTGCGACTTGCCTTGGAAGTCGAGCAATCCGCCTTTTTAGTTTGCGCCTCAGCTACTGAAACATCTTCTTCAATGGGTTCGGCATTGACGAGCGTTTGCCTTGACTTAAATCTTTGCTGTCCAACTAAATGGTCTTCCTTTTGAACTACCAAATCCTCTTGAATTGGCTCCTGCATGAGAAGAGTGTTTCTTGATTTTAAACGGGATTGATTGGCTCCAGCAAGTTCTTCTTCAATTGGCTCAGACATTAAGAGAGTGTGCCTGGATTTTTGTCGCTGCGGTGCAGCTGATCTATCAATAGTTTTTAGGGTTATTGAGTTGGTCTTGGTCTGCGGAACACTCTCATCCTCCTCTATGGGTTCTGACATTACTAGAGTTTGTCTGGATTTGGAGCGAGCATTTGCGTTCGATTGGTTTATCGCTCCTATGGTTTCAGTTGGTACTCCTTCAGTACTCGCATCATAAACTTCCAAGTCTTTTATATTACACAGCGAATCCTCTTCCATGGGCTCTGCTAAAAAAAGAGTGTGGTTAGCCTTGGATTGGGCCCTTTCTTTAGGAACAGCGCTGGGTTTTAAATGTAGTTCCTTGAGGGGACTTATGATGTCCTGCTCCATGCTTTCCTGCAATAAAATGGTCTCCCTGCGCTTGGTTTTGGTGCAGCCCTGCTGGTTAATTGTAGACTTTTCATAGACGATCTGCTCCGTGGTCACAATCTTCTTCCTAACGTGCATATCATTCGCTTCCTGATCAATGGATTCATTGAGATGTAAAGTGCGACGTGCGGGAACACTTTTCTTTCCAGGATAAGTAGGAAAATCTAACTGATCCTGCAGCATTTCCTCGGCCGTATTAATAGTCTGTCGAGACTTGGAGTTTGGCATAGGCTGAAAGCTCTGACTGCTGGCGGGATATTCCAAATTCAGTTCGGAATTTTCATATGTGGTCTCCCTTCTTGTAGAATTCTTGGACGTATTTCTCGACTGAGTCTCGTCGCCCAATTTGGCATGGGCCAGGAAATTCGTGTTGTCCAGCATTAGCTCATCCGCCTGCGACAATCGATACTTTCTCTTGTCATCCAGCGCCTTCTGTTTCTCCTTGTCCTTGCGAACTGGACTTGCTAGCGCCGGCGACATGGTCATATTCTCACTGAAATTCAACGTTCCCCTTGGCTTAATGCTTCTTATATCCTTCTTTGGACTACTGTCATCCGCGGCTTCCTCTTCAAGACCATGAAAGAAACGATTTCTCTTGGCCTTGCGATCCGTCGTTGGCGTTTTTGGACCATTTGGGAAAATCTGAATCTTTCCCGCCTCCAGCTCATCGTTCAGTTGGCGAAAGTTTAGCTTCTTGCTAATGTTCTTTCCCGAAATCATGTCGAAGGGTATGAGCATGGACTCGTCCTTCATGAAATTGATGGTGCTGTTGTTGCTCTCGAAGGAATTCGATGGCGAGCGATCCCGGTCCTCGGAAACTGGGAAATAAAGTGGGGCATTTTAGTTGAATGTATCTAATTGGCTTTTTTAGAAATTCCTTTTCAATATAATTACGAATAATAAAATGAATGTCATTTAGAACATTACAAATCTGATAGCAATTAGCGATGTAATCATATTCAAAACTAAACTAAATTTTCGCTAATTGTATTTCAGTAAGTTGTGGACCGATCTTAATGAAACATACCTTATTTTTTAGGTCATTTTATCAGCTACCAAACAAAAAATATAATAACAAATTATAGAATTTTTAAGTGTTTTTTAAAAAATAAAATCGAAGATAACCTCAAAATTGTTGCCTATATTTTCCGTGTTTTCTTCATTTTGGGCAGAGTTAAGTTCTTCATTTCTTCAAAATAGACTACAATTGTAAAGAAGAATATTTAAAAACACGATTGTAAATTAAGCTATTAGAATATACTTTAAAAAAGCTTTCATTAGTGAGAAAATGAGAAGAAATCGTTTCTATTATTTTTGCCACCAGTGTATAAATAAAAATTGGAAAGGAATTCCGGGCTAAGCCATACAAACCATTCAAAGGGCAGTCGAAGGATATATCAACTGGTCCATGTTGGGTTTTATTCTTGATCTCCTTTTGCGCCTCCTCTATGTCCATGAAAAGTGACTTATGAACCGGCGCCTTTTTCTCCTTTTTGTTGAACTCGCGCATTTCCCTCATCAAGCTGTCGTCTTCCAGCTCCATGAAACTCGGCTGCGTTGGGGGATGGCCAGGAGGTGCTACAGGAGCAGGAGCAGGAACAACGGGTGCAAGAGCAGGATCAGCGAATCCCAATGGAGTAATGTCCATGAAGGAGTCACTTATTGTGGCTGCCTTGGCTACGGGGGTATTCACCCTTTTTCCTCTGTTAATAGCTGGCAGTTCGAGCGAGGAATCCTCACAAATGCTGGCCGGGATTTGGGTGCGGGGAATCAGAGATTGAGACATTAGATCATAGGTCTTGTCCATCGTCTGGAGATCGTAGAGGCTGCTTTGCAGCACCTTTCGCTCCTCGGAGGACAGACAAATGGAGGTGGTGGACTTTCTGGACGATATATTCCTCGGTTCGCCGGGCAACATGGTGACATCCACGCTGGTCTGGAGATTCAGGCTCATTTCGATCGATTCCCGTTCTTGGTGGCTGGTCAGTGGAACGTTCTCCTTGTCCGCATCTTGGGGAACCTTCGGTAGTGATGCAGATCCTGATCCTGATCCTGCTCCTGATCTCGATCCCGTGCTGTCCTCCGCATGGTGTTCGGATACCTCGTACGAGTCGTCCCAGTTGTTGGTCTCCTTGGTGTTGACAAATTCCCTGTATAGAGGCTATATAGATTATCTATATAGCGACTCAATTCCCATACTGTACTTACCGCACGAACTTTTTGCCACTGAAACTGATGCGTCGCTTGATTTGCTGTTTGGTCGCCGTCGATGTTGCTGTCGCATCCTCTTCCATCGCCGGCGCCTTGCGCAACTGCAAAAACGATGAATTAACTGTTAGTCGGGTCGTTTAATTGATTTGTTTAAAACAAAACACTCACGGAACTCCGTCTATTGTTTGCATTCATCGCGCTGTTAAATTGTTTTTAGTTTGAAATCTCATTGGACAGACGCCGCCATTTTTGTGTGAATGGTCAAAGGGGGCTGCCAGATCGTTGACAGGCAGCGCTAAAAATACTAAAAATATTTAAATAATTGGAGTAATAGAAAATGTTAAAAATTAACTGTTTATAATTAAATATAATTTAATTTTGGGCATTAACTCTGTATGGTCTACGGATATTTACTTTTAATATTAATTTCTGGAACTATCGGTTGAGAGTTATAGTCTAGTTACACTATGTGTGAATTACTCCAAAAAAGTGTTTTTACTGGGTTAACTCCAAAAATCGAGTAAATGACATTAAGTGTTTGTTGTTTGTGTTGATTATTTTATGGACCTTCAACGATAGGAAATAAATACAAAATATACCTTAAAATACAAAAAAATACTCCGAAATACCAAAGACCCTGAAAGTACTTAACTATTGCCCACATCTAGTTGCCTATAAACAGTCTATGTAAAAATAAACAGGGTTATGTCAATAACTCCAATAACAATAACTCCTCCATAACTCCACCCTAGTGTAAATAGGCTATTACGTTGCGTTAACTACAGAAATAGTGTTACCATTAAGATTCAAAATAAAGATAATAAAAATGCCCCAGGTATAAATTAGGGTGTTTCCCCCAAAAACCCACGGCCCCACGAACCACCGCTTTTTTCCCTCTTTCCCTTTTTCCAAACGTGAGCAAATGTAAGTAAAAATTGGAGCTCCGCCGAAACTTGTAAAAATAATTGTAAATATGCGATAGCCACTGGAAATAATCATGCCATGGCTAAGTAAACTACTAACGAACCGAGTTGAACCAAAGTTTTGGCAAAACCTACTAAGATGCCGAGAGCACACAAAGATTACCGAAATTAACCCAACTTTTCCCTCTTCCTAGTGCTCTGTGAATTGTCGGAACCATGGTGAACGGCCGCATACCCTCGGTCTTCTCGAAGACCTACGTGACTCCCCGTCGCCCCTATGAGAAGGCGCGTCTGGACCAGGAGTTGAAGATCATCGGCGAGTATGGTCTGCGCAACAAGCGCGAGGTGTGGCGCGTCAAGTACGCCCTGGCCAAGATCCGCAAGGCCGCCCGTGAGCTGCTGACCCTCGACGAGAAGGACGAGAAGCGTCTTTTCCAGGGTAAGTTACTCCAGGTTACTCCTGAAAGTTCGACAAACCCGACATGATGAACTGTATTAAAATAAATAATCTGACACTTCTTGTCTGAAATAACCATTGACGTTAGCAAATACACACTGAAGGCAGTTTTATTACTGAAATCTTCATATCACCTTAAGAATCCTTTACTGATTTTCTACCCTCTCCACCCACAGGTAACGCCCTGCTGCGCCGTCTGGTCCGCATCGGTGTCCTGGACGAGTCCCGCATGAAGCTCGATTACGTGCTGGGCCTGAAGATCGAGGACTTCCTGGAGCGCCGTCTGCAGACGCAGGTGTTCAAGCTGGGATTGGCCAAGTCCATCCATCACGCCCGCGTCCTCATCCGCCAGCGTCACATTCGGTAAATATCGCTTGGACAGGCGACCCCAGCGTCGCCCTATCAGATATATAACTCTGTTCTGTTCAGTAAGACCACTTGGGAGTCGAACAAGCTTCTATGCTTGCACCGGCTCTCAACGTCTTGAGATTGCGCATGTGACTCCGTTCACTCCAATCGAAATTGCAAAATGCCCGCCTAGCGTAAGTTGCACTGAACGTATTTCTAGCCCTAATCCCGCAGCCACCTCCTTGATTCCCGGCTTTATCTAATCTAATATAATATTTTTCCCTTTCCACAGTGTCCGCAAGCAGGTGGTCAACATCCCCTCGTTCGTGGTGCGCCTGGACTCGCAGAAGCACATCGACTTCTCCCTGAAGTCGCCCTTCGGCGGCGGCCGTCCCGGTCGCGTCAAGAGGAAGAACCTGAAGAAGAACCAGGGCGGCGGCGGCGGAGCTGCTGAAGAGGAGGAGGACTAAGCAGCGGTAGCCAGCTGCAGCCGGAAGAACGCCAGGCGCAGACTTTTGATAAAAATCTGTTTGTTTTACACAATAAATGTAAAATTACCTGACATTTTGCGAGTATTTCTGGGAAATGAAAGGTGCTTTGCTTTAACTGGGGGTTATTTGGTCTCATCAGAAAATCCACACCTTGATATTGTTTTCTTAAAAGTTTAAAAAATTTTGCTACGGTAATAGCTGGTAGTATTAAAACAATTTAATGAACAATGATTAATAATAAGTAGTAGAAAGCACATTTTAAAAACCAAAAGGGCGGGTTAAATAATTCTCTTCTCAATTTCCGACCAGGGTTGCAATTTCAGATGTCGATAAATTCGCAAACAGCTGTTCTGTGTTTATGTACGTTTAATTTGTTGTCAAAATGTCCGAAAGAAAAAGAATTCGAGGGAAAAACTTTAGCGAGCGCGAGGAACATGTTCTCATTGATCTGGTGCTGTCGAAGAAGGACATTCTGCAGGACAAGAAGAAGGATTCCAAAACCTGGCAAAGAAAGGCAGCATGCTGGGAGCAACTGGCCAAGGATTTTCAGGCGCAAACGGGGACACAGCGTACTTGTTCCACCCTGCGGGAAAAATACGATAATATGAAGAAAAACTCCCGGAACAAGTACAGAGGCGTTAAAAATTGGGACAAGGAAAGGGAATCCTCTGCTGCGGAAAACTCATGGTGTTCCAGGACCTCAGTGTCGGAGAGCCGTGACAGGCGTCTAGTAAACAACACCACTCCGCTGGAAAACCAGTTTGACAGTGATGGTAATTGTATTTTATACCCTTAAATAAGAATCAAAAATACAGTTAATGTTATTTTCTTTATGCTTGCAGGAAATTTTCAATTAATAAATGTAGCCAAAGAAGAAAATCCCTCAATCAGCTCACAGAACTCAGATACCTCTCAACTACTGCACGTAAGTTGAAAGAACATATTTAAATAATAACACTAATTGCTATTAAAGTTTTTCAAGGAAAATATTGATGATATCGAAGAACAAGAGACAGACAGCTTTGAGGCTTCACAAGGATGGATGGCGAAAAGATTAAGGGATAGCGGTTCCCCTCAAGACAACCAAACAGTCCACTCTGAAATCGAGCAGATAGAATTGTTCAAGCTCCAACAGCAGTATTATATAGACCAGAATTCCAGAGCAGCTGAAAAACACAAATACGAAGTAGAGAAGCAAATTGTTGAACTACAAACGGCTCGATTAAAGAATCAATTACTTGAAATGGAAATTGAATTGAAACGCGTAGAACTAGCTAAAATTAGGCAAAGTACTTTAAGTTAGCTTAAGTTTAGTGATGGTCGATCTCTAAAATTAATGTTATAAATTAGTGCTCACACGATTTATAAAAATTCTTCTGAAAACCTTGATATCGAACTAGAAGGATCGCCCCTAGTTTAAAGCTAAAATAATCCATAGCTATTAAACATTGAGCAAGTACCTATTTCAAAATCTAACACAATTGTATTAAATCGGCTTGAAACGTAGTGTTAGTTGTAGGTTTATATTTCTAATCATAAGATTTTAGCGTATTGTACAAAATACAACAATTTTATCTTTATTTGATGATTATGTCCTGTGCTATTCCATTCCATTCCATTCCATATTAAATTCCATTTAATATTCAGTAGTTTAATCACTTAAATTTGCATTTAAATAATCTTCAATAATCTGAGGGGGTTTTCCAAGATTCGGAGCCACGATTTTCAAATGCGAAAATGCAAAAATTCAGCATAAAAAAGACGAACGCCTAAGTGGGAAATAAGAAGACAGAGTGATGCGAAATTCTCGGATATAATAATACATCAGTCTGGCTTCAACAAGGAATAGATTTATCCAGGATTTGCTCTAATAATCTCTACCCCGAGTGAATATGATGAAAGCCCCCGTATTTAATTTTGTAGTTTTAAACAAATAATTTCTGTCGACAGTTTAAATATTTTTTAAAATCAAAATAACCGTATCTGAAACGTCAGTAGTATGCCCGTATTTTTAGACCTATGAAATACTGCCGTTATCGGACTTGAATTCGTTATTCTCCGAGCTTTCACGCGCAGCTTTCGCCGAGGTGCCATTATCACAAAACGGACTTTTGAAAATCACTTGAGATTCGGGTAAACAGAAACTGCAACGAAAAACAACAGCTGGGACTAAAGCGAAAATTGTGGATAAATAAATATCGCCGAAATGCCGAAGCCCGGTGACAAGGCGAAGGTGAAGGTGAACGTGAAGGAGCGGGTGGTGGACGAGTCCTGCGACTTGAGCCTCTCCGAGCTGAGCGAAATACCGGTGCGGGAGATTGTAAGTACAAGAACAAGTACAAGTAATTAGCGCCGATTCTTGGTGTCTCTATCTGCATTATCCCCCGTCCCGCTCCCTCTTTGGGGGCCACGTCTGTTGTCTGGCGAATGTCTAGTCACTGTCTATCTCGCTTGCTCCTGTAGCCGAGGGCCGGGGGGTGGTGTTGGCCTGGAGAAAGAGAGACCCACTTCCTCTCTCTTCTCTCCATCTGCCCGCTTCTCGTTGTTCTTGTTATTCTGCCGGCTGGCTTGCAATTAACGCTGACTTCCTCTCCTCCCTCTCTACCGAGCACCCCTTAACCCTTGTGTGGTTGAAATTGCAGTTGAATTCGCTCGAGGGGGTTGATTTTTGGTCTTTGCCACCCCTCAAAAACCGAGAAGGTTGCCAAAAAAAAAAAAGAAAAACGAGTATGAAAATTGAGTGTCCCGACTTCAAAATACCACGTACTTTATTTTTGCCAAAATATCAATAAAATTATTGAATAATTTTTTTCCTTTTAAGATTATTTTATCTTTTGACACAACGAATTTTTAAATTTTAATTAATATTTTTAGTTTTAATTATTAAAATTACATATGAAAAAGTTACTTACACTTTTTCTAGAGTTTTGGCCTCCATATCCATTTTTCGTAAAACTTTAAAAAAAATATTAATACTTGATATATATTTTTTGGTTCTAAAATGTAATAGTGACGAACTTCCAGGCACATTAATTAATTGATCTCCAACATACCCTTATCCAAAAGTAAAAGAAAGGGACTTCTGAGGCAGTTACATTTTTCGGGGGTTTCTTTTTGTCGGTCTTGTTTTGCCACTCGTTTCTCAGCTCAGTTTGTCCTTGTTCCTTGCAGGCTTCGTTCAAGCGCGTCACTGTCTTGGATCTCTCCAGCAATCGCCTCCTGAACCTGGGAGTAAGTAGCTCCTCCAGCACTCACCAAACACACTTCCTAAATATCACACAACTACATACCTCTCGTTAGAAAAACTTTTCGATTCTCACACGTTTGGTGCGACTGGATCTGAGCAAGAATCAAATAACATTCCTGCCCGAGGACTTTGGCCAGCTGGAGCAGCTGCGCCACTTGGACCTGTACAACAACTGCCTGGAGCACCTGCCCATTAGCTTCGGTCAGCTGCGTCGCCTGCGCTACTTGGATCTGAAGGGGAATCCCCTGGCGCCCGCCTGGCAGAAGATTGTGGGCTGCTGCTCGACGCAAAAGGACTGCCAGCAGGCGGCCAAGAATACGGTAAGTGCTCCTCGACTCGAGTGGCCCTCGAGTGGCGTCCGTTTTTTCCCCATCTAACTTTTTCCCCCAATTCCCTCATTATCCAGGTCAGCATTTGCGCCAACTACAAGCCGGAATTCATTGAGCGTGAACGTTTGGCCGCCCAGGAAACAGCCCAGAAAATGGCAGGAGCCGGGGACTCCAATGTTAGCTCTGCCCAAGCAAATGGCGGAAAAAAAATCCACAAAGCCAAATAATAAGAAAGCGAAAGCCAAAAAACTCGCCGCTGGGGGAGACAACGAGCTGACAATCAAACCGGTGAATGCAGGAGGATCGGCAGGATCGTCGGGAACTGGAAATGGCTCAGGATCCAAGTCGAATCAGAAGAACAATCAAAAGAAGAAGAACTCGAATGGCGGTTCATGGCTGAATCTTCTCTCGAGGGCCGCTCTGTCCTCACTGGTCACCTTTCTCGTTCTCTTCGTCATCAATTTGCTGATCATCTATATGATCATGTTCAAGAACCCCGATATCGCAGACAAGCTGGTTGAGTATATACCTCACCAGTATCGTGATTGGATCCTGACCAAAACGGAGATCTTCCGGCTGAGGGTTACCGACTGGATCTCCGAGTTCCGTACACCGCCGGAGGAGCACTGACGGTTCATTTATTTGAAGCCTTAGGGCGCTGGGCTTCAAATAGAAGATATCGCTGAAAAAAATTCGGATGCATAGCGCGTGTGGAGGAGGCAAAAATATATAAAACAAAAAAATTGGGATACGTGTTGACCACCTGAACGAGTTAAACGACTGCTACTTTGATATACCATTATATGCAATTAACTGCCATTTATTTTGATAGACACTAAGACACTACGTCCATTGACAGGAGATTTTAACGGGAAAACCACATGCACTCCGCAACCGAAGAGGCCACTTTAAAGACACCAAACTACACTCAATCACTCAACTCAACTCAATCGAACTCAGATGAATCTACAGCTAACCTAGCCATAGCACAAACTCAACTCAATAGTAACTGAATGGCGGTTCCAAACTGGCCAACGCATAGAAACTACAGACACAGTCAGACAAGACCCCCTTGTAATATCCACATCTATCAGATCGGATCGAATCGAATCGAATCAGCAACAAATAAAATACTTTAATCCATTGTAAGAGTATCCAGTGCAATTTCCATTTAATTTGAAGTTCAAGCTCAAATTGTAATCATGTTAGCCCCGACCACTTTACATTTGTAGATTTCAAATCTCATAGGTTTTATCGGTATACGCAAATATGTAAATGCTAACCACCATTGGTTTGATTTGCAGAAGATCAAAACGAAATTCAAGCGGTTTCATATGATTTATGCGAAATCAAAATTATTGTACTGTAATAAACAATTTGCAAAGATTTTTGGAATAAAATTTTACATTTTAACAAATTGGTTTTTCTTCAATGGGGGTTTTTTTCTCGTATGATACTCCCGCTTCTTATCAATGGTTTTATTTTTACCCGCAAATGACCTAGAACTCAAGTGATAAGCGTTTATTATTATAAATAGGTGCTTTCATGTCCAGAATTATTGAAATTTGCAATCTATATCAAACAACTAAACTTTGTTTTATTTCCCAGGAAATGGTTAATAAAACTTATTTTAATTAAGATTACTTCAAACTCACGCTTATCTATTGATTTGGTCTGGTTATCTTATATTTATAGACCCCATGGGATTGGGCACGCGAGCTTATATCTCTCATTTTTATTAAATATAAATATATTTTTTTATTTTTCTTCTGAAAACAATCTTTGATAAAATTAATAGCTTTGGTTGACAGCGAAATGTGGGTTTACAATGTCAAGAAGTGAACTACTAGGTTATTCAGAGGATACTTTATTAAAATCCTGACACATTTCTGAGAAAAAAAATTAAGTATTGTTCTAGAATTTTGTTTACAATTTTAAAACGTGCTTCGGTATAAAAATGATTATGAATAAGCATTTTTTGACCACGATGATTTGGAATTATATTCTATTAAAGATAATAAAACCTTGATAGAAAAGTTACTAAGTGTAAAGTAAAATTGTTTTTAAAAGATAGCTAGTCATAAACATTTTGTATAGATTGAATGATGAATATCCTTTATGCTATCCCTGATATGGTTCTCCCTTAGGGTCTTTCATGATATATTGTTTTTATCTTCTTCCCTCTGTTTATTCGGTAGCTCTACGTAATCAGCTCATTCGCATATCGCAAATAATTGATAAATGACTTGCGAAAACAAACCGGTTCTGTGCCAAAGTGAATTTCATCAATAGAAAGTTGTAGAACGATGACGTACTCATGAGCGGGCGGCAATTATTATTAAACATCGTGAGCGAGCAAAAGTATTGGATAAATATTTATGTCCAGGCGTTTGGTTCCCAGAACAGAAATTGTTTCCTGACTGCTGATGAAAAGCTGCTTATCAATTTCTTTGCCAAGGATCTCACCGCTCTGCCCTCACTCCATTTTTAAAGTTTCGTGTTTCCGGCGAAGCTGAAACTATAGAATTGGCCACGCTTATGAAAAGCTTGACTTAGATTTCGTCATCCAAAATGTGGAGAAGGCCCTTGCCCTTTAGGAGTTGCTCTCGGTCTCTCTTTGTGTCTTAATATTCATCTCCCGCTTCGCTCGCTCTCCTTCAATTCAGCGCATCCTTTTTGTTGTCCTTTGTGTGGTGCCTCCTGGTTGTTCGCTGCCCGCCCTCTCTTTTTACTCTTCAGCCCAATTTTGATATCAACTATTACCGGCTTTATGCGTTCGGGCTCTCTTTCTCTCTTTTCTCTCATTCAAAGCAATAGTGTTTTTTAGCGGGAAAAAGTCAAAATCCACATTTTAGAATATTAAAATATAAAAAATTACACAATTTAAGGATTTATTAAAATTTTATGACTCATTAAAATTATGTTGAATACTGAACATAAAATATCTTAAATGTAAACACACAACAAGGAACAAATTTTTTTTTTTAATTTAATATTAGGAATTAAGAATTATTAAGAATTATTCCAAACTAAATTAAAATGAATACTGAACATAAATTATCTTAAATGTAAACACACAACTAAGAACAACACGTATTTTTATTTTATAATTAAATGTTATTTAATTTTATTTATAAGAATATACCAAAAAATCAAGCTCTCAAAGACTATGAATCCAACTTAAGCATGAATGTATTAACTTACATTTATTAATTGCTTAAGGACTGTTTTAAAATCTCTGATTTCAAACATCTAAAGGGGGATTCCCTAAACTGTTGTATTGCTGAATTGTTGAAAATTCATCAAAAAATTTCAGCAATTAAGGGAACGACCCAAAGTGGTTCCTGTTGAATTTTCAAACAGCTGTTATTTGTTGAAAAGTTTCACGGAACTTAAAGCATGTAAAATTTGATTAATTATTGCTAGTTACTGTCTAAAAGTGTTACCAAGGTAAAAAGAACCACAAATATGCATTCTAACTTGATTTTTTAATAAATAATGCGTACTGGTGATACTAAATGTTACAGAGTTGCCACGACTTTTAAAAAAAGGTGACAACTCTGGAACTTTTCAGCAATTCAACAAAATTTTCATCAGCCCCGAGGCTGATGAATTGCTGAAATTTCTGAAAGTTGACTTTGTATGGAACAGCTGATTAACAGCTGACCAAAATTCAACAATTCAGCAATTCAACAGTTTAGGGAATCCCCCTTAAGTTTTAAAATATAAACTTTTCCTAAGTTCCCTAAAAAAGTTAAAATTTAACCGTAAAATAGCCAGATTGACAGAGCTACACAGAGCCGGCTGCGTTTTTGGCGCGCTCTCGCAACGGTCGCTCGCCGAGTATTTAAACAGCCGACTGACAAACGCTCTTCACAGTTGCTCTTTGGTCTTCGCGCAATCCGCCCGGTTTTCGTGGGAGGTACGTCCGATTTTTGGTAGCCAGCAGCGCTACGGTTGAACTGTTGGCATTATTGAATCGAATATCTGGCCAAGACACACCGAGAGCCGGGAGATATAGTCTTTGGTTTACGCGGCATTTCGTGTACCGTCAGCACTCCGAAAAAGGAACAAAGAAACGTAAGAACCAGAACCAGAAATCCTAAACTATATGTACAGTTGGCGAGAAGGGATAGGAAGCGGAAAGAGGGCGACGTGAAGCACATGGCAGAAACAGAAAAATTGGGTTTGTCTGAAAATAGCAAAGGCAGAGTGCAACTGACTGGCACACATGTGTTATGTATTCGAAAAACATTCGAGTGGAAGCCACGAAAAAGTGTATAATTAATTGACATTGTCAAAAAGTGTGGTGTAGTGTAGGTGAGAGCCCCCAAAATCCGACAAAAGAATAAAAGAAGCGGCTTAATCGGCCCCAAAATAGCCGCAGTGACAATTATAACCACAATTAAAACCGAAACCTTTTCATAAAACCCAACAATTCGACGACACGCGTGCATTTGCGACGTCGACATTATAATGACCACGTTGCACCTGTCCCGTTATTTGCATTCCGGTTCTCTACATACATTTTCGAGCAATTAAATTTTCGGGTCTTTTTCAAGAATTCCTTTTTCTAAGGCATGAATGGAATATTAGCATTTTCCCGAGTGCCCGCGCTTTCCACTGCAGTTTGGTGCTTAGTGTGTTGTTTGTGTATGCGATAGTTCAATGGCTGCGAATAGGTTTCCCCATTTGACTTGCTGATGTTCCACGTTTCTCGCTAAATTGCAATACGTAATTTAGCTGTAATTGAGCACTTAGCCAAGGGAAAGTTCCCCCCAATGCCAGCGGACCAAAAAAGTGGTAGAAAGCAGCACAGCAAAAAAATGAGGAAAAATGGTTTACTATCACAGCTATCTGCACACGTCAATGCAATTACCTCACCCGCCCACACGAACTAGAACTGCACCCACCCACTTTCAGACCGATCCGAACTGACTCACCAAGGACATGGTCAAAAGGAATTCAGGCCAAAATGGGATGGGCGTACAGGCAGAAATATAATCGTTTTTGATTTGTGATAATATCAATAGTTCCTTAAAATGTTATGTAGTGGGTTCTAATATTCATGATTTGATCAAGCATTTTGAAAAATATATCCCCTTCATCTTTACTTTTATTCATTATCCTCATTAAATAACAAAAAAATTAAGCCAAAAATATTCCACAATTAAATCAGGTCTTAAATATTATTATTATTATTTATTTCACTACTTGATATCACTTCAATATTTTTTTGTTATTATAGAAAATGATTTTTGTTCAAGTTGAGGTGTGCCTGTCTGGGCCATATCTTTACGATGTAACCATTTCCCTTTTAACGCGCTCAGCTTGTAGTTGTGTTATTGATTTTGGTGCTATAGTCGTTGTTGGTAATTAGCATAACAGAAATTTACAAGCAAAAGTCAAAGACGCAGTAAAACTATGACGTCAGAGACTGGAGTCCAAGAAAGGCAAGTGGGAGAAAAGGCAGTACCAATGAGAGTGAGAGAGTGAGAGCTACATACAGAAAGAGAGGGGGCGAACGTGGGTGCAACTGTTGATTGCGTGGGCGGCCTTCGAGACATTTGACATATTCCAAGAATAAATCTATTTTACATATGTACATGCGATTTTGGGATTGGGAATTTTAAATTTGTCTGTGAACTATAACAAAAGATTGTAGGATGGAACTGTAAATTAATTATGGGATTCTAATTGTCATATAAGAAACCATTCTGAGAAATTAGTATCATTTTTGGTTGTTTTATTAAAATTAAAAATGTATTTTTAAAAGAAATAACTATTATAATTATTTAAAGACTTTGATTTCTGATCACCATTTTTTGATGTAAGGGCATTTAGCTCTAGGTCTTTGCCCCATTCTTATCCTTTAACGTCTTTCTCCGTTGTTTACTGTTATTCTTGCTGTCAATCTTTTGCCGTCAATCGCCTCCGCTCTTTTGTCCACATTTGCCATTTGCGCAATTTGCCACCAGACATTACACTTGACCGCCTGCCTGCCTCTTTGCTGCCCCAACTGACCGGACAGAAAATGATTTATTTTTAGACGCAACTAATTTCCGTAACACCTGAGAAGGTCGTTTCTTTATCAGCCTTCCATTTTCCCCTCAAAATCGATTGGACCATTGAACGGCAATCACAAATGGTGGTTCGATAAAAACACTTTCTAATAAAAAGTGCCGCTTTGCTGGCAGAAAACAATTACCAAAAAAAAGAATCCATAAAAACCATATATTCATATAGCCCCGCACATTATCTAAAAAGAAAATGTGTGCGTGGGTTGTTATCAGGATTGGCATTATGCAACGACCGCATGCAAACTCTCCAATTGCTGTTAATTATTTTAAACACCTCAAATTGCATTTGCTTTCCAAAGCTTCTGTAGATAACACGAAAGGAACAAACCGCTTACGACAGACAGTTACTGCGGGTTTCTTTTTCCGACTCGTGTCTCCGTCTTGATAAGGAGAATTTGTAGAAGCTCATTGATAGCTCTATTTGATCAGCAGTTTCTCATTGAAATGGCACGGGCCTATTATTCATATGCATATGGAGGTTATGACGTAAATGTGATCTTTGAGCTCATTAAAACGTCAGAGAACAGCTGCCTAAATATATTGTGAGATTTTAAGATTTACGAAATGACTTAGAAGCAAAAAACCTAGATGTTTAAAAAGCAATTAAAAAGATACCACTCCTATTCAATAATATTTCCTGTATTTTTATCAGTCCTTTCCGCAAAGTCACAACCTTGTTTGCTTTTAAAAGTCATGTTCTACTATCTCACTAAAATTCTCGAGAAAACCCAACCACAAAAATAATTACTAAGTCTACGGCAAATGCTGAACTCGCAATTCTTTTCTATAAATGAGTCCCCAAAATAAACATGCATACGTAACACAGCTCTAAAGGGGGAATTGAAACAATTACCTCTTTTGTTGACCACTAGATAAGGAGAGTCAACTTACCCGTTCCAAAAACTCATGTGGCAAATGCATTCCACGAGTACGATAAAAAACCCCCAAAACTTTTGGCTGATGAAATGTTAGAAAAGCTTTGCAGCACGACGACGCTGTGATGAACTTGAGGCTAAATATAAACAGATTTTGCCAAGAATGAGAATGAGTATCGCGTTATGCTTACGCAGAACGCATTCGGATGTCGTGGGGAGAAGTGACGGCATTATCGGATAATGTATGCCTATGGGGATGGGTTCCCTATGATTAGACATCCCCTGCTTGTTAAGTGCTTTCCCATTATAATGAGTCAGGCCTAACGATAAATATATGATTTGCCCGTAAAATGTAAACACTTTTTAAGGTCCGTTTGAAATGGCATTTTAAAAATAAATCCACAGCAACAAAGTCGAAACACGTGGTTTTCCCTTGTGGCTAAGGGGCTCGACCGGGTGGGTTTTGACTGTATATTGGCTCTCAGCATGTCGGGATGCTGCTGAATATAAAACAAAACCATAGAGAGTTTAAGAGAACACCAGACAGCCATGCAAAATATAAAGAGTTCTAATTTATGCCAGCTGTCTCGTTGCAGCAACAGCATTTTTCTAGCGATTCTCACGCTCGCATGCCATTAACCAGATTCTTTGTTTTCACTTAGCATGACTTAAAAATAATATGGCATTACTTTCCTAAGATTCCCTAAATATTTTGCATTGACTAGGTTTTCGATATTCAAGGTTTTGATTTTGTTTTTAGTGATCTGTCACGTTTGGCAGGCAGGTGATAATTGGCTAAGAATAAATACAGAAATAAATACAGTTCAAAAACAATATTGTATCTCAAAGATGTGCATCTTAACAAAGTTAAAATTTGTATATTCGAGGTAAATACATTGTAAGATTTTCAATAAGATAAAGTGATAAACGATAAAGTGTTAGATATCTAATAAAAAAAATCAATTCACATTTGTATACATTTATATCATGTGATATAGGCATGTTTTTGAGGGAATAAGCGGGGCAATAAACTATCAGTCGTGTAAAAGTAAAAGAAAAAGTAAACGCACCCACACTTTAAAGACGTTTCAATTAAAATGATGCAATCGAGTTATTTTTCGGCAATTCCCGTGCCCCGTAGTTGTTCCCAATGTCGGATCGGTTTGGGTATGTTTAGGTTCGATTTTAGCCGTGTCATGCATTTTGCTCACGCAACCGAAATAAATGATAATACCGAGACGAGCACATATATAATATATATATATGTAGGTATATCTTCCGATAAATCGGGCGAACCAGTTCGCACTGGTTTCGGGGGAAAAAGTAGTGAAAACTATGTATGCGATAAAGGCAAACATTTGGCATGACAAACGCCAAGCACCTACAACTAAAAATATAGGAACAGTGAAAAAAAAAGAAAATAAAACAAAATACTACCAAATGTGTGCCAACATTTGTTGTTATTATTTTTTTTTTTTTTTGGTCTTCACTGGGTGAAGGTTCTTTCACTCGTCTGTGTTGCCAAAATATTGCGTTTGCCGCACGCAGATATTGCGTTCTCTAAAAATTTGATTCATTCATTGAGCGATAATACAGTTCGATTCCATATCTTATCGGGGGTATTGAGTGCCTTGTGTGTGATTTCGCTGTGACGCTTGGGTTAGATAACGTGATATATGAACCGATTCCCACTGCCTTGGCTTGTAAATGGCTGTAAAAGTCAGCCCGAAGCTGCTTTGGCCCCCAAGTGGGTGAATCGTGCTCTCCAGAGGGCTTATCTCCCGCATTCCCCGGACCCTTGGGCAGAGGTCAGGCCAAGTCAAGTGGGAGGTCATTCAACCTGGTTGCGAAATCTGTCAAATATGCGGCGAAACATGGCCAAAACAAACGGCCAAAAGACATCTATAGACATCCGAAACTGTCTACGCGGCGTCTGAGAGCTGGAAATTGATATGCAAAAATGGTAAAAGGGGGAAAAAAATATATGCCCATAAATATATCATTTATCAGCCGAAAGTCGCCATATAACTTTAGGTTCTTGAAAAGAGAAATACCTTATAAATATATGGTACAAGGGAAACTCATTTGGGGGCCAGTCCAAAGTCCAAAAACCAAAACTCACCCACTCAGCAGATACTTGCCACAGTATTTACTGTGTGAAATATGGCACATGTGACTGGGATTTAACGGATTAATAATAGAACTGGGCCACAAAAACCGAAACGCAAAAAGGAAAAACCAATTAACCGAAATTTGTCATCGAGAACACAATACTTGTGACATCCAAGGGACTAAAAATAGAACTCATTAGAGCAGGTTTAAACGAACGAAATTATGCTCAATTGGTTCCCCTTAAAAAAGATTTGCATACAAATTGCCAAAAATGCTGTCACATTTTTATACGAATTTATTTCCATAAATTAAAGACAGTCGCCTCAATTTGAAAGTGAGTCGCACAAAACAATTAACGGGCAATTGAACTTTTGCATATTGGAAGACTTCAGTCACAAATCGCAGACAATCAAATCAAATCAAGAGATGCTGTCCGTTCGTTTACCTAATAAAGGGGATTCTATTAGTTTTGGTCTGGAAATAGCCAGTTCGCCAGATATTAAAGTGTCTGGGCGCCGCAATCTCAATTAAAATTCATTATTAAATCAACAGAGGAATGCTTGTTCTACACACAGCGAAATGTGATCTTAAATGGTGATCAATTGGCTATTGATTCGGTTTAAAATTGAGGGATAGATGATATGTTAAATAAAACAAAAATTAATAATATTTCCTTTGATCTCTTTGCAGTTTGCTTTCACATTGAGGGAGAGAAAAAGCTGCTTTCAAGATGGTTAACATTGTGGTGAGCATTTCTTAGAAGCCCAATTGAGCAATTACCTTTATTAATTGCTGGAATTCTTATCGGTCTTTTCAGGACAGCGGCTCCAAGCATGCGCCCCAGGAAATGGAGCAGTTCCTGCCCGGCGAGGGAAAAGTCATGTGAGTATCGCCGACCGGTCAGTGTGCTAAAAATATGTCGCCTAAATTGCTGGTGTGGCATGTTTGCCAATTAAGTTTACGAGTAGATTAGTGCCTCGCTGTCGCTAATTGGCCTTTGATGTGGCGACGTCTAAATTGCGACTAGAAATGCTTTGTAAAGCCAGGCACTTTGACATGAGCAGCTCAGATTGATTACAGTCACAATTATCAATTATTCGATTCTGTAGAGGAGTTATTAAAATATTAGATGTCTGGCGGTTCGAGAGCCGGGGTTATGCTCTCCAGATAAATACGAGTAACTTGAAATAGTAACTCTATAATCAAGCAGTCTTTTTTGCCTTCTAATAAGCGCATATCACGTAAGTGCCTGTCAAGGCGAGGCGGTGTACCTAATACCTAATATAAATTCCTACCGTAGAACGCAATATAGAAATAAATCAAAATCAAAAGCAAATTCACTTACGTACATTTAAGCGCCTTTGTTAATCAATATGGTGAGTTATCTCCCAAGTTCAAGGTGCTGCTGGCAGGTTTTCAACAAAATATTTATGCATCCATCTGCTGACGTTTGGCAAATATCGATTTTCCTGATCTGCCTTTTACATGCAAATATTATTGTTGGGGAAAATAAACAAGAAAATAAAATGTGCAAAATAGTTCGAACGAACGGAAAAGGCTGGGAATAAATTAGCAATTTGTATGACAATATTTTAGTAGCACACGTGTGAGCTCTATACTTCTGCCCAGAAGATGATATTCAATATTCTACTGCACTTTGACCAAAGTAATTGTATTCGTTAAAGTTATATACACAATATTCGAATGTTTTTCGCTTTACTCTTGTCATTCAAAAACTTATTTTGATGACGGTGCTATAAGTATAGATTGAATCATTGAACTATAGCTGATAACCTGAGTTTTGCTCTTGAACTGATAGGAATTTTTTAATGGAAAAATAATCGCATCTTTTCAATATACTAGTACAGTTGTATGTATATACTTCTGGGTGCCTTTTTTCCGGAAATGTAATTTAAAAAGGGGGTTTAAGTATCAGCCATTACCAGTAACCCTGTATTTCAGTATCCGTGTGCTAAAAACGCGCTGTCACTAAAATGATTT